TTTTGTGATAAATTTTAACACTTTTTCAAATTGTTCGAAGAAAATACTTAAGTTACTTAATTTTGGTACTCTATATATACATACAACTACAGTATTACATGAGAAAAGCTCAACAGCACAACACTCAAAAACTCCGCTTATTGAGAACTTGGCAACTTCATGAATTTCCTTACATTCATGTTCCTTCCTTACAAGTATGCAAGTACCTCCCCTTTTGCTATTATCCCTGCTAAAACTAGCGACTATGGTATAATTACTAATACATAAATTTTTTTCGTAACCCTGCATCATGAAGTGTTCCGTTATACACAGAATGTCAACTTCATCGCCCCTATCTGATAGTTCATCCAGACAAACAGTGAGTTCATCAGACTTATTTAGTAATCCTGCAATATTTTGATGAAGTAAATTTATAAACTTATTGGGTTCGAAAAAACTGAGAAACCGGTTGCATGTCCATGTTGACGTCTCGAGTATTGTTTGTTTTAATACTAATAATTTGAGTATAAATATCTTGAAAAATTGTTTGTATCCCAAGATATTTAATATTTCCGGTATTCTTTGCAAACATTCTATAGTCACATGTAAGGTTTTGGTTCGAGTCGATGAAATAGGCGTACTGGTTATTAGTTACATCATAATAAAGACCATTATTAAAGTGTTCTACTCTACTGTTGAACATAGTGGCGTAGTAGGAGTGTTTATAAGTTGGGGCACAAATTATGACGTTCGTGTAGTTCACTTTTATTAGGGTTTCTCTTAACTCCATGATGAGAGATGAGTACTCCTTAGTCGTCTTAAAATCTGTATCTCCAATCAATATTACACAGAAATCATTCTTAGTGAATCCCTTTAACTTGCCGTCTATATTACTAATCTGGTTCAGAATTCCGCAATTTGGCATTAGGTAGTGACAGATTTCTGAGTTTATAAATTTATCTTCCGCTATTGTTCGTATCTTATTATTATTGTCTTCACTGATAATACATATTTTCCTATTTATTTGTTGTTCTAGGTTTATTCGTGCCGTATCCCCTGTAGAAATTGATGACTTGGTTCTATTGTTTTTTGAATGAGATATTTCAGATGTTGTTTGCTTAGGGACTGTAACCAAGGGTTTGGTAGTTGACTCTTGCAAATGAGTTATTTTCGTTTGTGTCTGCACATTCTTCAGTTTTATCTTTTTTGTGGGAGTTAAGTGAGCTTTGCTTTGTGTATTTTTTCTTATGGGACTACTAGAAATTGCACTAAACAGCTTGTTTTTCTTTAGAATATCTTCATTTATTCGTTTAAGATTACTATTTTCAAGCGACAATGCTTCAATTTCCTGGTGGGCACTATTTAGTTCGCACATCAGTTTATCAATCTGTTGCCTTAGGTTGTTCATTTGTTCGTTTTGTGTTTCATCGAAGGATAGTTCGGGCATACTTGACATGCTATTTTCATCGAGGGTACTTGTTGAAAATTGACTGTTATTTATTTTTGTGTCCGAATTTGCGCGCTTTCGCCGGGTTGTTATATTTTCAAAGAAGCTCATCATCGTAATATTTTTGCTTCAAGAAACATTAACAAAAATAATTCCTCCTAGCAAGATGCGAACTTGCGATCGTTCTATCGCCAGTCTATGCGTAGCTCACATTAACCACAAATGCAACTATTTGAAGTAATGAAATTGATGTTCTGTTTCTTGTTGAGATTTTATAATTGTTTTGACGTATTATGACGTGGTAATTTAAAAATCAGCCGTTGAATTTTTTTCACGAATGGTATGTTTTTATGGTTTTTTACACATATTCACGGAGTTTTAGATGTCGTTAAGCGAATTCAGTATTGTAATAACGAGTTTTTCATAGCACATCGTTTTTAAACACTGTTAACTTTTTGCACATATAAACGATAAAATTTTTGTCTGGAGTTAAGTTACACGGCAGATAACATTGTCACAGATACTCGGCACTTTAGTTATCATTCGGATCACATTATTTACTAGTTAAACACACACAAAATATTTTAATGAAAAAAAACAAACGGAGATTGATGTTTACGTGACGGCGCAGCGCCATCTATACAATATATATTTATGGTAGACAGAGATCGATACTTAATCCCTGAAGCCCAGATTAGTACCTACTACGGCGGCGGCTGGGGCGTGAGGACGCTCTTAATTCCCTCACACATCATCACTGCTTCGCAAAAAGAGGAGAGAGTTTCCCAGTCCCTTTCTCTCCCCACCATAACCTTTACTACGGCCGGACGCGAGAGATCGCCACCGACGGTCAATTCCCTGAGGACACGGCGGTGGTCAGACTGAGCAGGGCACACCGCATCGTATGCTTAAACGTGTTTTTCAGCTGGTTTTCACAACGACTACAGTCAGGCGCTTCCGCAGGTTTCGAAACAGGTACCTCCCGAGACTCGAAATCTCTTGAAATTGAATTACTCTATTATTGCCATCATGATAATACGGCCACCGTAAGCACGGGTCTGCGGTCGGCGAGTAAGGGCAGCTCGCCGCCCGACCAGAACCAGGCCCGAGCGTACGGCGCGTAGCGTTCCGCGCGCGCCTCAAAGAGCCAATAGACCACCACAGACGGGACCCTAAAGGGCTGATGTTCAGCCGGGGTGGCGGGGTAAGCGCAATGAGGCACCGCAACCTCGGCCCAGAGCAGGAGAAGGAACAGGGGGGTTTTTAGTCAGTAAGAGTCTGACACTCCCTCCCGCCCGGCCCTGGGCGGGAGAAGTCATTTGATGATTTTCCCCTCACAAAAAAAAACCGTCGCATGCGAACACTGAATCATGCTATAAGGATTATTTTTGTGTAATGGTTGCCGCGCTCGATGCAACGCGGTATAAAATATAATATAATAGGTTTTATGAAATATTTGTAATACTTACCTATTAGTTAGATCCGTACCATTCTATTTATAGACGGACGCATAACGGAGACTTAGTAAGTAATACGGTATTTAACTAAAAATTGCGGGTTACTCACATTTGTTTTTGAGAAAAGCTCTATTAGTTTCGAACCACAGAGGGGTTCTTCCTCATGAGCAGCGTGCGCGGACGCGGCGACGTCGCGCAGCCTACTCTGGTAGAGCTTTTCTCAAAAACAAATGTGAGTAACCCGCGATTTTTAGTTAATTTAGTATGTCTCACGATAGTTATTATAAAAATATGGTATTTACCCATTGGAGATGTACCTATTAAAAATGAGACGATTAATAACAAATTTTATGTATACTTCGATTTTGTTCTATTGCTATAGGTTGCTATTTGTCAACACAGCACGCGGGCGAAGCCGCTGGCGGAAGCTAGTAATATAATAAGATTAAGACCGAGGGCCCCTCGTTAAAATTTCCTAGGGGCCCCGAGCTTGACTTTAGTCCGTCCCTGTGATCATCGCTGCATTAGATTTACTTACTACAGAGTCTCACTTTAAGCCGACTGCAGATAACAGCATTTTAAAATTAGAGGGTAACTACTACAAGCTGAAGATATCGATCAGATCATCAGATCAGTACAACCCAAATCTTGAGACTTATTGGAGCCGTCGGACCACCATAGCCCACGCTGCCCTGCCGCACTACTGGGTCGCGCGCGCGACTTGCATTAGATATACACAGAAAATGGGTGGTTTTAAGTCATAAGCTGCCGTTCTAGCCAGGGTGAGACGAGCCACTTAATTTTTTATTATTACCCATTATTTCTTCCAAAAAGGCCGCTATGTAATATGCGCAATTGCACAATACCGGACATTACGGTTACGATGAGGGACAGTAGCAAAAATAAAAATACATGGATCAAACTGCATAGTAGGTCATAGGTACTGTTAACCTTTTTGAAATCATATTCAATAAATGCCTACCTACATAAAGTGCCAACATTGTACCTAACTACAGAATCTTATTAGACTTTTATATCTAATCTTCGATAAAATATATTTACAGCATTGGCATAAAATTAGATAGAAATCTTTAGTCACAATAATAATGACTGTAGTCTATTCAGGATAAAAGTCGCGATAGACAATTAATTTTACCAACACGTATAGTAGGTATGTTATACAAGTAACAAACTACGTTTTAGCATTTTCTGAGACTACCGAATAATGACTTTTTTCTTAAACTTTGCCCCGCTTCAGTATTTTCTCCTGCCTCGTGGGTCACACAAAGAGTTGCACCGAGCGGGAATCGAACCCGCGAGACGTTGCACGGTAGCGGTAGCGGGGCAACTGGGGCGGTCAGTTGCCCCGCTGACCAATATGATTATTATTTTTATGCCCATATATATTTTTATGTCACATTACGAAATTAAATAGGTCCAAATTTGTTGATAACAATTTTAATAAAACTTATTTCTCAGGGAAAACGCAGGCAGACAAACTATTATTGAATAAAACTCACACTACTTCCCTGATTTACTATTGGACATAAACCATGAAGCTATTGACCGAAAACAGGTATATCAAAGCTGATTAAAGTTCCTGTATATATTATAATAGCAAAGTTTAAACCGGCGCGCGGCGGCCGCCTAAATCACTTTGCTTGCAGCAGTAGGCGACATCGGTGGTTGATTTAATTTCTTTATAATTTAGTTTAAAATTGTTGTTGTTATTCGCTATGTGAGTGAGGTTACCAGAACTATTTTTTTCCCTTTTCCCATCAAACCACTCAAACCTTAGAGGTTTGGGTTTTGAGTTTTTGAGGGATTCCAAAAGGCTGGTAACACACTTATAGCTTTTCGATGTTAGCATGGACGAGAAGAGCATTAAGAAAAATGTTTTTTTACATAATTATTATAATCTATCCATTGCATAGATTTGTTCGAAACCTAACCTAAATGAACCATGGAAATGATCTCTATGGTTGATGTCTGTGGGGTATTTTTTTTTAGCCAGAAAGGTATAGTGTAAACAATAATTTGTCATAAAACAATACAATGTACTGATGAAGGTCAGAAAACTACTATCTCCAAATAAAAAAAAAAAACCTGATCTTTAAATCCACATTTAATTTATTATCAATCTAATCTTATCTACTTATATCTTATATATTTATACAACACAATAAACTATTTATTTCAGTATATAATCTTGGGGATAATCCATAACTTTGGGGTAAGACTTAGTAACTTCTTCGGGAATATGATCAAGTCGGGTTGGCACAAGGCGGTTCTGACGTATCTGGTTGGTGACATTTTGCAAGACATCTTCAGGCACAGCCTCGCCAGGGTATATGAAGAGACGCTCCATGGTATGACGCCTTTGGAGATTGCCTTTCATTGCTCTATATACAGCTTTTTTGATAATCTGTAAGAAAAATTGCACATCTTTTATATCTTGCTTGTTAGTGATGTTTGAACTTAAATTATTAATGAAGTATCTTAGTACCTTATAATTTATAATTGTCTTTGTAAGATTTTAGGATGAGACCAACACTTTAACTAACCTTGAATCAATTACATTCAAAAAATTTGACAGTAACATTGTGTATGCTAAGTTTATTTTATAAGAAACTTTAAAAAAGCCTCTAAGATGACCCACTGGCCAGTTAATGAACACGCCAGTGGAAGGCAGAAGAGAGAATGAATACAGTTCTTATTAAATTACATTATTGTTACTATAAATGACTGACTACTTACCATGGTTGGGTCTTTATTATGAACTTCCCAAGCCAATGTCCAAGAAGCTCCACCAGGGTATCCGGTGTGGTGGAAATATGCTCTTTTGCGCCACTCATCCCCTTTTAAAGCAATTTCTCGACTATTAATACAAACCACAACATCTCCGCAATCATTCATAGGGTGGTAGATAGGTTTGTGTAACCCCATCAAATACTTCTTAATTATATTAGCCGATTCATAAGGATCTTGCCATTTGCAGTCAAATATGTGCCAAGTGCGAGCAAAGGTTGCCCATTGCTGGAACAATATTGTTTTTGCTAAATGTTAGGTTATTTTATTTTGATTGATGTTTAAAAGTACTGTTAGCTAATAGATTATAATGGAATGTTGCCTTATTGATATTACCTGCACTCTTTTTGCTGCAGACATTGTGTTTTTATTTTATTTCTGTCACTAAACAAGTATTTTCTTTTAATCAAATTCTTAAACTTGGAGGTTATGTTTTAATGTCAAAATTGTTAATTGACAAATTGTTACTTTGACAGATTTCACCTCGTTCAGTAACGTGGTGGTTTTAAGATTAAACTATGTATATTATAATATTATTGTTAAGCCAGAAACACCTATGCAGATAAATGATGCAATACAGAATACCGGGGCTTCCAAGTCTGTCTCTAATCATGGCAAATGACTGAAAACACGCCGCGACACGACACGCCACACCTCAGTAATTATTCGATCTTTATCGATGCATAGTCATCGATTGCAAGCTTGATTAACTGTGAAAACATATTGTTTTTGTTAATAAAATAACACCCAGTTTAGAAATATGACAAGGAATTTTGCTCGTTAGGGGCGACTCTAAGTCATCAGATAACACAGATGGGGCGCACTAGGACCCAATTTCCAGCCGAGGTCGCGAGTGCAAGCTCAACGATGTACAGCAAGCCAGCTCAGATATTCCAGTCAAATTTTTATACCGTAGAATTTACCAAAATATGGGAATAAAAACAACTATAAACATCATAATATAATAATTTTATTGAAATCAATCAATATTATGGCATAAAATTATAGTTACACTATCTTACATAATAACAATATGTAAACGAAATACTATTCAGTAGTCTTTTCTTCAAGGTGGAGGTCCTTTCTGATGGTGTACGCAGATACGTGCATCATAAACTTTTCGTTCTTGAGGAAATTCTGGATGGCTCGTTCCCTGACGTCCTCCCACGCGTAGAGGTCTCTGTAGATTGGACGAACGTATTTCATACGGCCTTGGCTATTCACGAAGTTGAAGACTTCATTGAGTTTGGTGTCATCTCGGCTTCTTATGCACAGTCTCAGCCATCTGAAAAGATGATAAAATATTATATTACTACATGCTAAGCACTGGATTTATATAATTATGGTAATATCCATCGCCGCGTCTCATTGTGTTGCGAAAAGATGCAAAGAGATTATGAGCCCCTAACACAGCTTGAAACTAGTCGGGTTACCTAGTCAAGCATTTACGTTAGCTGTTAAGCATAAATCAATTTAATATTATAATATCCAATTTTCAGACACATGAAGAATCTTTAAACAAAATTTAAACTTCAGTTTTATTAATCTTTCTAGTTCATGGGATTATTTGCAAATTGACAATATACTCAAATGGAGTTCATAAAAACTCAAAACCATACCTGTACAAAATCTCAGTGTTCTTGTTGCAATTAACTTTGTACTCCTTGCCGAGGGAAGTGAGTCTTTCGAGAGGCAGCGCTGGTCTGTCAATGAGCTGCTGCAGCATGTGGATCATCTGATGAGGAGTGAAGGAAGCCACGTCTTCGTAAGATAGGCAAGCGGAGGGGTCATCAATCTTGACGAGCAGCGCCGATATAGCTTTGGTCATAGTTGTGTCGTAACTAAAAACATTAAACAGCACATATAAATAAAAAACATAATTTGTCTAGCGCAAAAGGTTGAGACCGACTCAAATGACCAATGGAATCACAAGAAAGAAATTAAAAGGACCAATCAGAAAGTCTGCTAGTTCAGCTAATTTTATAATAAAATTGTCCTATTACATTACTAGAGCTGTGTCTCAATAATAATTATGCTTAAACAATCTCTAGTACATATTCTTTCTATTTCTTTGGACAACAGTCACGGCTGTTAAACTGTAGGTGACTGATATTCATTTACATGTGAGACCCTCTTGAGAAGATAACGTGAACAGTACGCCTGTTGTCCCAAAGAGTGAGGTAAAGGCAAGTGTAGGTGGAGTTTCGTGAACATAATATCATTGAATAAATAAACAATAAAACTATTCATTATTTTCATTCATGTAGTGTGGTCGCAAGTTAAGATTATCGAGCCAAGGTCCCAAGTCCGACTCCTCCGTGATAAACAAAGTATTTTTGTAAAATAAAACCACATTTTTAAATTTTTCGGAAATTCTCAAGTCTGATTTACCCTTATCATACTTATTGTTCTATTGTATTTCGCCGTGCGAAGAGGTTATCGGAGACCCAATGCTCTTCCCCTATTTTCATCCCCCATCCTCAAATCCCCGGCAACACAATCCGATTGCTTACCATCAGGTGATAAGTCTGCTCGTGTTCCGAAGTATCTCATAAAAAAACCAAATAATTATCTAAAAAAAATCAAATAACACTTTGTCCTAAAGACTACGGCAGTTTTTAAGCGGGTAAAGTTTACAAAAAAAAAAATACTAACTCAGGAATGATAGGCGGCATACCGCTCTTGTACAGCCAGGAGTTCCAGTCTACTTCCTTGATAGCCTTGTTGTCCTTGAAGTAGTCCAACAGGAACGCCTTGAACTGGTCTGTGTCCAGAGACTTCTTTTTGAACTTGGTCAGGTAGGCCCGGAGAAAGTCATCAAACACCTCTGTGAAATAAAATATGAATGTTAGGGGAGGAATTTAGTGGTATAGTATTTTTGCTTGTTTACAATAACAAATAATAATGTAGAGGTAGATTTAAGTATTCTATCTATTCTGTGTGACTCAAATGTGTTAGCAATATATCTGTACTTATTTAATGTATCAGAGCTCAAAACCTAATAAAGAACTTCGTGTAGGTATAGGAAAAAGGCTAGTGTGAGTGAATTTATCAGTTACTTTAATTAATAAGGGACAAGCCTATTCTCAAAAAAGCTGTGTGTGTGTGTGTGTGTGTGCTAAAGTGGAGTCCCGTTAAAATTACATCTAGAAATAAAACATTTTTACAACTCCTTTACCACATCACTTTTATAACTTTGACTTTGTTCAAACTCACCAGGTCCACCGACAACATTCTCCAAATACCTCAAAAACAAAGATCCTTTCTCATAGGGTACCGTAGAAAACGCATCATCAGGGTGCACTCCATTAAGGTCTACCACCAGCTTCGTCAGCGGGTTCGAGGAGCCAAGAACATCGTTGATCTAGAACAGAAGGTATTGGAGATGAAGAACTTACCAGGACCTCCGACTTGATCTTCGAGATAGCGCAGGAAGAGAGATCCTTTCTCGTAAGGCACTCGCGAGAAGGCGTCATCTGGGTGGATCCCGTTTAGGTCAACCACGAGGTTCGTGAGAGGACTAGATGCCCCGAAGACACTCACCTGCAATTTCGTGGGGTCCCGTCATTTTATCATAGGTATCAAAGAACTATGATACTAAATTAAGTAATATCTACATGTGCATATATCGAGAAGCGTCGAAAGCATTAAATTAAACTGCTATACTAGATTACAAAATGGAATTTCAAAAGTTTATAAATTAGTTTATTTTATAGTTAGTAGAGATCCACCCAGATAACAAAATACCATATACTACGCACATAAAAAAGAGACCTTGACATAGGTCTGCAAGCGGACATGCAAAAATAGCATAAAATCTAAAACTAGTTCAACTCACCGCTTCACTAAGTTCTTGTAAACCAAGCAAGCTGTGGAAGTCCCGGCTCTTCTTGGCCTCAACCGAGTCATTGATGAGTGAGGCTCCGACCTTCCTCTCCAGGAACACTGTGAAACCCTCATTCAACCAGAAATGCTCAAAGTTTCTGTTAGTCACCAGGTTGCCTGTCCAACTGTGCATTATTTCATGTACTATCACATCAGCTTGGCTCCTGTCGCCCGCCTAAAAAGAAACTGTGTGAGTACCTGCAGATAATGTTGTCCCCGAAGGGAATGTCTACATTTTCACTTCCATTTTCTTCAAGTCAGATAATAAATAAAAACTAGCAAGCAATACCAGACTTCGCACAGTTAAAAAAAACCAATGAAACTAACTAATCATAAGATTATCCTGTTCTGTGGCTGTGACCTTGCTTGAACTTTTGCAGTTTTTATGAATAAATATAAATAATTTATTTTATGAAAAAAAAACTAATCATATACTATCTACCAAGAAACACTTGAAAAATCTGATCGAAAAAGAAAACTAAATTCAAATGTATTATTTTGACAAACAGGGACGGACTACGCCTAAATGGGCCGGGGCCCCGAGGCGACTTCTTTTTTTTATTGATGACTATCGATTAGCCTCAAATCATCAGTCCGGCTCATGCACCAAAGCACACTTCATCAGCCTGTAAGTGCCCACTGCCGAGCAATGGCCTCTTCACGCTTGGTGAAAATATAAACATTAATTGACTTGGTGAAGGCGGATTGGTGATGTCAAACTTCCTATTTGAAATTAAAAGTTTATATTGTTTCACAATTGTTTACCACCGGCGATTGTCAGAGGTGTATAAATAACTTAGAAAGTGCATATAACTTGGGAACCTCATGTTGAACCCTCATGTTGCTTGTTTCGAACCCTCATGTTTAAGAGGGGCGCCTTAATCTCCAGGCAACCAAGTCATTGTCGACACGACATGAACCATAACCCATTAAAATTGCAGTATAATTTACTATGGAACATTTATACTTTTCATTAACCATTCTTATCAGAGGATATCTAATCGGACCATTCTTCCATATGTTATCAAAATCAATCATCTATGCTGATTAGGATTTATTGGAATAGGACTACCTGCGATTGTAACTGTGTAAGGTGCGAGGAAACTGAGCGGTCAGACAATAGACTTGTCTGCAAAGAAAAGTTATTGTTTTGCAAAATCATTCTATCCGCTCCAATGGTGATTAAAAAACAAAGAAGTCTACAAAAAGACGTCGGAAACTCTGGTGTATGAGGAAAAAAATCATAGTCATTGAGTCCTGAACAAAGGCTTCTTCTTTAGGAGGAGGGTTCTGCCTCATTCTCGGATATAGCAACTAGGTCTACGAAAGTTTTAGAGCAGTCTTTTGCTGATCGCAATTTGAAGATAAAAAAATATCTGTTCACATTTCGTGAACAGACATTCCTACTTGGAAATAATACAAAATAAGTAAATATTTGTAGGGCAACAATATCTGTAATAAGATTAAGTTATTTGAAACTTCAAATATAAAATGGCAACTTACCAAAAGCGTAGGCGTAACAAAAGTCAAGCAGGGGTTCTCCATTCCTCCGTAAGGGAAGGAGGGAGGTAGCACTAGGAGGTCATACTCCGACCACTCATACGGTCCGCACAGCTTCTCAGCTGCTTGGAGGTACTTCTCAGTTTCCGCAAATTCCCATGCACTGCGCTCAATCTCTTCTTTCTCTGACCATACTCGTGATCTGTATGTGGACATAATATACTCGACTTTACACTACAGTCGAAACAGTATTTTTGCTTGTAACTACTTGAATCAAATGTTTTTGACATTTGAAGCACGATAAAATGTTTGAGGTTCGCTATCACCATATACATTTGAAACGACACACATATCATAATTTCTATATTTGCATTGCACTGAAAGAAATCTTACAAAGAGTCGTTAAGTCTTTTACAAACCTTGGTCCAAGTGTCCTACTCTCAAGTACTCCGACGGCGATGGCCACCAGATACGAAGGTAATGGCATGGGCTGCCTGAACGTAGTCTTGTTATTCCTGGCCTCTCCTCTCAGTGCACTCATCAATACCGTAAACTCCTCGGGAGCTGTGACCTCAGCATCATAGGTAAACTTCACCGCAGGAGTATCTTGACAAGGTAGGATAGATCTTGCGTGGATCGGCTAAAAATATTTCTTTTGTTATAGCTATGCAGCTCTTTTTATAACACTGTGTAATCCTACAAATCTTTCGGCGAAAACTTGGCGAGGAGGATGTCTGTATGTTTTTATTCTTTCACCCAAAAAACACTGAACGAATGTTGATGGAATTTGGCACATAGATAGACTTTGATCGGTCATAACATATGTACTCTACATCACATGGTTATTTATTATAGGAATCAAATACAAAGTGAATACTTCAAAGCCAAAAGTACCTATGTTCATATCCAATAAAATTAACAAGTATTTTTTACCTGACATTGACTGAAGAGGTATGGGTATTTCTTTCCAGAAGTCTGTTCCGGGCCCAGCCATTGCAAGGCAGACGCTTGAGGATCAGTACTGTATGCAATCTTAACTTTAATTCTGGAATAAAAAGGAATAGACTATTAGAAAGAGAAGACAATCAGGTATTACTCTACGATTGAAAAACACTAAAGAAACATAAATAAATTCTACAGAGATATACATTGGTCAACATTTTGACAGCTATGAAAAATTTAATCTCAATACTGCTACAATAAACTAACCTAAACCAATCACCCTATTTATCGTTACTAAGACCCTAACTACCATTACTTAGAAATGTCTTCTATGAACGTTAAATACTACTATGTTAACCTCAACTAAAAAACCAAGAGAGGTAAAGACTGGAGTTCTAATTCCCACAAAAAATCACCCTTCCTCCGATCCACAACATTTTTATAACACCGAAACGAAAAAAAAAGTACTACGCGTTTGCGTGACCACTAAAATCCGGCTTATGTTTGAGCACTATCCTCCAATCTCCACCAATACTACAGCTAACCTATATGGTCGTTTAGGTTTCACAATGCTAAAGAGGCTGTCGTCGCTGGAACTTATACTGGAACTCCAGCAGCCTTCGCTGGAGGTAGTCGTGCAGGCTTCACAGCTATCAAAACTCTCCGGTTTAGGGATAGACTGGTACCCGCCGTAGACGCGACCTCTCAACACCTTAAGCACATCTCCACAAGCCGACGTTTTCTTATCGACTTTTTTAACATTTTTGACGTCGTCGTTACATTGGTATTCGACATGCGATAGTTCTTCGCTCATACTGGTGGAAGTGTCATCTTCTCTTTCGAGAAAAAATACTTTAAGTTACTAAGGAATTTAATCTCAATTATTAATCCTATCAAAACTATTTCTCGACTTTAAATCTGAGAAACTGAATATCCTAAAAAATAATTGAGATAATGTATGCCCAGATGTTTACTACAATTTAAACAATGAGCATATTTAAAAACACCTTTACTGACTGACACAATAAGCAAAAGCTCGTCGCCTTGTCCTCTACCTTTCGTGTAAGGAACTTATGGTTACGATGTAAAATAAATTATCCTTTTACAGCTAGAACTCCAGTCCTCCCAACATTCTATCTCTGCGCTATTGTTAGAATAAACTGACATACAAAACAAATTATCTTGCCAATAAGTAATAAATACCTTCTTTTTAACTAAATAACCAACTATCATTATTTTTGTGAGCAAATTTCGTTATGTCGACCTTAAGAGTTTCTAATTCTATTGGCCTACAAGCAAAGCAATTCACTACATGTGCATTATACATATTTAGTAAATATGTAAATATTATTTACGCAACATTTTCAGCATAGATCGCATGTCACAATTAATATAAAGAAATGGCTTTGAAAAAATTATATATAAGTAGTGTCCGACCGAAATTTCGGTTTCGGTTTCGGTTTTGGCCGAGTTTCGGCTAAAAACCAAGAGGTCTACTCTCTTTCTTCGAAACGAAACTTTCGGAAACGAACGAAACTCGAACGAAAGAACGTTGACGACCCTACTCTGTTTTATTTTCGGACACGCATACGAAGTTCGATCCAGAGATAATTTTCGTGAACGAATGTAATTGTGTAGGTTCTTTATAATGTGATTTGCGGTAAATTACGGTTTTTACTTAAAGTTAAAATTACAAATTCTCTGGCTGTTTCTTTAAATTCCACATTATGTATGTGGTTTGTAAAAACTATTACTTATAATATTCCACGCAGAAAATCAAAATATATTTTTTTTGACGGAATTGTAATTTATCGTTTAATTTATCATCGTTACTTTATAAAACACTCTTTTACAGACATTTATAACCGACTAATTTAAAGAGTACTATTTCATGCCAAGAAAAGGTTGTTATGTATGACGACTAAAAATGGCTGTATTCAAACCGTGCACGACATGTGTCAAAAAAATAATGTCAACAGATTGTTTATTTTTGTCAACACGAGTTAATAAAATATACTATAAAAGACCATAAATATATGTGGAGAAAGGAATTTTATTGAATTGTATAAAAAATGGATATCATTATAAAAACAGGTTTTGAGTGTTATAAACACCAACCAAGCCCAAACTGTGCTAAAATGTAAAATTGGTGTTAGCAGAACATGTGAGGGATGTGGAAGAACCTGAGGGAAGAACAAAGAATTAATGCGAATAATAATATGGCTGTGCGTTAATATTGATTGTGTAGTGGTGGAAGAAGACTGTGTGACAAAGCGAGTCGAAGCTAAATGTCCAATTATCAACATTTGAAAAAAAAACTGTAGTTGAATTTGATAAAAATGTATGCAATGATAATTACTTAATATTTTTATAAAATAATGTAATAGAGTTAAAACAAAGCCATTCATATTACACTCATGTTCAGTTACAAATGTATGTAACTGGGATGGCAATGTGTGATATTTTTATTTTGAGCAGTATATGGTAAATAATGTTCGTTTATGTTAACTTCATATACCTAAGTACTTTAATGTGTCACAGTAACGATATTGTTTTAATGTTATATAAAATGCTAATAAGTTGTTTAAAATTATACTCCTTGTTATATTTGTTCTATTAGAAAATTGAAATTTATTTTAAAAGGATAATAAGTTTTTATTTTTTGTTTAATAAGTGCAGAACTTTAGGAAATAAAAATCAGTTATTTTTTTAAGTGTGTTTTTATTTACTTGTCCTTTTTTACATATTTGTGCCGCGAGCGGTTTCTTTACCCTTTCCACCCACTTCGCACGTTCCGAATAATCGAAGTACATGCAAACATATCATAACAATAACATACAACTTATGAGTTTTTGTTTGAAAACTTTTCTAAAAGTTAGTTTCTCACAGCTCCTCAAATAATAGGCGACTGTCCTACAAACTCTAAATCGGGAATTTGACTTAGGTATATTAAGTAGATTGCACAGGCAGCGCCGGTTCCTTCTATATACGCTCTACACGTTCTTCACGTAAAACAGCTTCGATTTAGAGCATTCTTGTAGCCATTTCAAACAATTTTCATACAAAATCCACACTAAACGAAAATTAAAAGGTAAACTTTTGGTTTCGTCAATTTGAAGTAAAAAATCCGAAAAATCGTCTGTCAAATTCAAAAGTTCGTTCGGAGCTAATAAGGATTAGAGTAGGTTCTAAATGTCAAACGTCTTCGTTCGAACGATATTTCGGAACGAATTGAAACCGTGGTAGGAAACACGCAAAGTTTCGATCGAAAGTTCGTTTTTCGTAGAATAAGAGTAGACCCCCAAGTTTCGGCCGCAGTTTCGGTTTCGGCCGAAACTTTTGCCGAAACCGAAACTTATTTGGCAAGTTCACGCAAGCATAACTGTCCTACTAAATGGTGCAAGATGTATACCTAACTGTCCTACTAATTGTGATCTAGGTAACTTAGTTCATTCTAAATATGTGATTTTTGATTTATCTATGTTTAGACTGGAACTGGGTGTGATTTATTATTTTTGTATAAGAGGTACCTAAAAGAGATTGATTATTCTTCTAAGTACAAATAAAATCCAAAGTATTAAAGGGAAAGATCTCAAAATGCCAATACTTAGTACTTAATGCAACAGTGACAATTACTGATTTGATTTAGATGAGTGATTTTACCGAGACTTTAATTTGAAAAAATAATAAAATTGTTAAGTATATTTATAATTTTGTATTAAACTAGCTTACGCCAGCGGTTTCGCCCGCGTGGTGTGTTAATAAAAAGCAGCCTATAGCAATAGAACAAAATCGAAGTATACATATTTTTTTTATTAATCGTCTCATTTTTACGGGTAAATTACATAGATAGAATGGTACGGATCTAACCAAGACATAAATATTACAAAAAAATCTCAAAACCTAATAAACTATATTTTACATCGAGCACGGCAACCGTTACACAAAAATAGTCCTTATAGCATGATTCAGTGTTCACATGCGACGGCGCGATGGCTTATTATCAGAACTGCTATTAGGAGTTACACGTGCTATTGTGAGTTAACCATAAAAGATAGATATATGCTGTATAACAATTTTTTTTAGATATTTTTTTAAATTTTATGTAGAATATTTTTTTCATTTATAATTTCTATGTAACTTTAACCATTAAGGTGTGGTTACACAAGCGACGGAAACTTACAAAAGGGAGTAACTTTGATGATTACAACAAACCTAATATAACGTGTTTCCCTTTCATGCCCTAATTAAGGCAAAATAATAGGTACAATGCACCAAATTTCAGTATTTTAAGATATTTATAGGTACAACCACGTTAGTTTCGGTTTCGGTTTCGGCCGAAACTGAAGCCACGGCCGAACATTCGGTTTCGGTTTCGGCCGGGAAACCAGTTTCGGTCGGACACTATATATAAGTAATGTTTTGTCGTCAGTTAATTAGACCCTGTTACTATCCCATATACCATATGTATACTAATATACCAAATAAGAATAAATAGATACATTATTTGGTATTTGCGAAACAAGCCTAAAACCCAAAAAGCCAGTCAAGCGCCTGCCTAGTCGCTAGATCAACAGCTATAAATAAACACATTTTTTTTTTGTAGAAGACATAAGTAAATTATGTTTTGTCTTGAAACTTGATAGTCTTTGTTTAATCAACAATATCTCAAAATCACCTAAATTAATTCGCAAAGAAAACGGGCCCCTGATTGTTATTGCTCAGGGCCCCTGACCGAGTTAATCCGGCCCTGACTAATGTAATGTAGGTAGGATGTAACGCAAGCCTAAATATACATAAATTTGCTTTTACAAGTAGTAAACTCAGGTAAATACATACAAGCTGTGTGTCTATATAATATTAAAATCAACTTACTTTTCTCCAGCACTATGCTGTTTAGGCAACAATATAGTAAGTTTGGATCCCATGTTGGGCACATGTTCCCCCAATTTGTACTGTAGTTGCGTTCCATCGTCCGCTTCTATCGATGATATATTAAGGTTGCTTGCGTCAAGTATCTGTAAATTGTTTTATTGGTTTTATGGCTAGCACAGTGTAAAGTAATATTATGATATTGCTAATAATAGTAACATGACAAGTGTGGGAGAGCCAAGCTTCGGCACGAATGGGTCGGCTCGACCGAAGTGATTCCACGGCCTCAAAGAAATCCGACGTGAAACAACGACAGCGTTGTGTTTAGTGTGAGACCGGTTACCGGAGGCCCAATCTTTCCCCTTACCCAATCCCTGTCCAATCCTAAAATCCCCTAATCCCTAATCCCCAAAAGGTCGGCGACGCACTCGTAACTCCTCTGTTGTTGCGATTGTCCATGGGCGGCGCTGATTGCTTACCATCAGGTACTTAATCCGTCTAACCGTTTGCCGTCTAATCACATAAAAAAATACATAATGGCGAAAATACATGGCGAATTATGAACCTGAATGTAATAATAATTACTCCTGGAGACTACCAATCAGTAACATTTTCTCTGAAGCGGTCGATCAGAAAAGGGGTTACCTACTTTTCTAACCACATAATATTATGTTTTTAACATGCATGTTTATCAGTCATGACAAAACTTCTCTTACGTGCTTTATAGATATCGATGTAAAGAGATAAATAAGATAAGCAAAATGTCATAATAAAGATCTCTCGTCTAAGATATGATTGACGTATCTGAAATACTCAAGACTTGTATTTGGATAATCATCATCTACCATGTCTCATCCCAAAGACGTCAACTTGTAACATTTACTTGGATATAGTGTAAACAACCTGTTCTTTCTCAAAGGACAGACGATATCGAAAAGCCCAACATAATATTTTGTATGATTTTTTCCTCCTCATATGCTACATGTCCTCAATTTTATTAGTCTCATACAGTGGTTATTATAAAACATAAACATTATGAGTCAGTGTTATTGGGAAATATACGCTCACTTTTTCATTAGCTATTTAAGCAGTCCCATTATTTTAAAGGGGCGAATGATTCCTAAATACGACACAGGAGTAAAAACGTTTTAATATTGACTAGAATATCTAGCGTTTTATATAGAATTATGGTAAGAAAAATAAAGTACAGATCAGGACTAGGCTAGGGCCCTGGGTGTTAAAGGCACAGGCATTCAAGTTGAAAACAAAAATTAATTATTTTTCTAGTGTCCTGGAGCCCAGTTGGCAACAGTAACGACATTATTTTTCATATGATTATAATTGGGTAATTCGATGTTTCAATACAATAAAATATTGAAATATACTTTTATTCATCGATCGATCGCTACACTAAGTTTTAGATATTTTGTAGCTATTAAGAAATAAGTAAGCTATTTGACGCAAAAATACTATGACGTCATAACTCAGTCTTTCAAACAAATTTCATAGAAAAGTATCGTTTTTGACATTTGGATAAAAGTATTGAATTTGACTAGTTGGAAACTACCGTATTTTACACTTACCAGACAATTGACATCTTCAAGAATATCGAAGTCTATCTTGGCACATCCCTTTAGAACGTGCTTCTCAAAGTCTACGTTCAAATTAAGCGATATGTGTGTTATAATCGCCTGTTCTGTAACAATAAAGTATGTAACATTTATCACAAGTATATTTACGTAAACATTCCCTATTTTATGTGAAAATGAGTAGCTTTTTTATTATTTTTGAAGTAATATTTCTGCCGTTTCTAAGACAGCGGCGACTTGGATTATTCAGAAGATTTTTTAATCAAGATTCAGTCAACGAATAAGTTACCTTTCTTTTTATAAAACATACATAAAATACATCGGCATATTTATTTTGCAATTAGTCCATAGTTTAGATACAAGCAAACTGTTCCCATACGAGACAGTAAAATAAAATAATTAAACATATCAACGTAGAAAGTGTTATCTCATAAACTTATGACCTAACTTATATGGAGCACAACACAACTCTTTTTATCAATTATTACCTACCACAAAAAAGAAATGGCAAAAACATATTTTTTTTTTCGTAATTACTATAAAAATAGGTTAAGGACTTACCAGGCCGCGAAAACGAAGACGGATCGAGAGGACTCAAGGCACCCATGGCTCTGATTTTACTAAAACATAGAATAATAATGAAACATGATAGTAGAATTGATATTTTATAGGCCATTGTCAGGCACGTCCGCGCGGCACTGTGTTACAAACTCGATTGGTACACAGACTATGCAGTGATCAATAGGCCCGCGATAACTAGATTGAAAAGATTAGAAAGTTATTCAAGCTTCGTTTGTATTGAGTGGACGAAACATAGCGGCAATGTCATTGGTTTAAGAATATTTTTGCAAGTTACATATTTTTGGACACTACAAAGCCTAAAACTAAGAGAATCTGAATTAACGAAATAGCTAAAATCTGCAAGCTTAAGTGCAAACTGCAATGGGCAGGCAACACTCGAAGGACAGGTGGGACAGGTGGCCGATGGGTTAGAAAAGTACTCGAGTGGCGTCCACGGACCAGAAGAATGGATGGTAAAAATTGAAGACATCGTGCTATCAATATTTTTCTTAGGGATAGGCAGTGTCAGAATCTTACTGACTAAAAATCCACTCCGTATCTTTTCCTGTTCCGAGCCTAGCCACGATACATCATATCAGATTTTGGCCCTTCCCCAATAACCTGAGATTTTGTCAGGAAGGTGAAGAAGTTATAACCAACCTGGGTTCAATATTCTCGTTACAATTAAAAAAATAATCAATAAATCAATCAGTTATTCTTATTGTATCTTTTAATTATATCAGAATAACGGTTCTATATATTTAAATTCATTCATTATTCACGAGTCGCGCGAATAGCGGGCCTAACCAATACATTAAATTAACATAACTAGACTACAATAATTTTACGGCACGATTAGCGCTGTGGGTGTCCGACCGGCTACTGGGCTGTCGAGACTTCAATTCTTGCATTTTTTGTGTGATCTACAATATCCCTATGTTTGGAAAATTAAATGCACCCGAGATACATAAGAGAAACCCAGTGTGCGACCGCATTTTCTGAACAAAATTTTAATGCCACTTTGTATAAACAATTGCAACTGGCAAGCAACACTAATTTATTGGTTAAAATATTGTTCATTGTTTCGTCCACTCGTCATGACTAAGGAGTTCCGAACACAAAGCGAAACTCTGCGAGGATTGAAATATAAATAAAATAAATAATCCGTTGAATATGTTAGATATAGTAATATACAAATACGTACGAATTTTGATCGACAGGCAAATCTGTATCAACAACACGGTGTGTTTCGCAGCTCACACAGCTTTGTGTATCGCACTCCCCATCAGACATTTTCACATAAATAAATTATATATTTTACTATTAATATAATTATTTAAATAAAGTACAAGTTTTTCGTAAAAAACATTCTCAAAAAGATGTTAGAATGACATTGTCATTGCTGTGTCACTTCAAAGTGAAGTTCTATAAATATTCTATTTTTTGCCAGTTTGTCTTTTGATTCCAAGAAGTTTAAAACTCCATATGAAAACTTTGTGGAGAGTTCTATAGATAAATAAAGCATAATTATTATTATTTTAGAAGTTCTAAAACATTTTAATAAATCATCAGATCTAATTGTTTAATAAATTAAATTTTAAACATCGAAATCAAAATTTCTGATTATATAACAACATGCCCTTGAAAATGATGACCAGTCAAATGTTACATCATTAATAAAAAAAAATTAAGCGCTTGACGGGAAGGGAAGGAATCTTGAGAAAAGGTTGATTCTCCAGATAATCTTCACAAATTAACAATGTGCCAATAGGAGCACAGTTAAAGTTAAAACCACACTTATATGGGAGTAGCTACTTTTTACATTTTTGTAAAAAATAAGAAGAGAGAGAGAATTATATTTTGTCTTTTAAATGACTAAATTTATAAACACTGACATGGTAAATTTTTTTACAATTATTTATCTGAAGATCCACCTACTAACAAGTTATATACCTACCTATATAACCTGGTTGTCTTTAATTGTTAGATTGGATTTTGGGAACTAGATGAAACTCCAGTATTATAAGACTTATTATTCCAGAACACCAGGTGGATGGAAACTCATCTCTAAGTATGGGAAAATAAGATTTGTTACAAGTTTTTTTTGATTTTTAAATAAAATTTAACATCAGTGGGTCATCTCTAATACATGTTCTAATTATTTGGTTGTTATTAGGTGAGCACAAAATACTCAAAGCATTCTTCTACTATCAAAATATTGTATCAATATTGTTATTGTTATTAATGAACATAAAAATAACGGCAATAATCTTAATTCTCATGCCTATTCTTTCAGATTAGAAATAGAGTATTCTAGAAAGGTATATTGTTTCTTATTTACCCATCCTAAAGCCCGTAACTAAAGATAAGTAAAGTATTCGAACCGCAAACAACAAAACCAATAAAGGTTAGAACCTCAAAACTAGAAAGTTTACCTTGTAAAATTATAATATAGACAATCTGCTAATTATGCAGTAAACAACTATGCCCATAAGCGTTTAATGATTTAATAAACTTGATTAAAAACAATAAATAAACTCCATTTAAAAACTATAACAAGTACTCACCTACTTGACGCGGCACAATTTTTACATTAAATTTTACGTTTAGTTAGCAGCTTTGTTCAAGGTTAATGTAAAACAATGCCAAATTAAAACATTTAATGTATGTTACAATTTGTATTTGCCTACTAACCTACGTGAATATAAGTTTGCTCATTTAAAAATTAAAGCTATCATTAAAATTATCACAGTGTAAAAAAATAGGTTGACGAAGATTTTATGCGAGTAAAATCTAAACGTCTTACCGTTCCGCTGCAATGTTTGTTGACATGTTGAGACATAAAGATTTTTGTGTTTCAAACAGTTTTGACCTTAAAATAGTACTATTATAATGCCTGGGCTGTTGCAAAATAACTGAACACGTTCTTTGTCTAATATTTGATACATTATTTCGTAAATTGAATTGAAAAACCCGCGTGACCACTTTAGCGGATAGTGACATTTTACTTTTTCTAATTTGTTTTTTTTTTAATTGGAGCAGCAACAGATTCGTGCCTATGAGTCGTTGAGAGAATAGAAAATATTAAAGCTCTAAAGTTAATCAATAGATAAATAAAAATTAACTCTTGTTTCCCGGTGATATTATATTGCCCTAAATTCTATTCCTAATTTTCTAAACATACAGACATCGGCACCCAATTGCAAGGCTGAAAGTGACAAATGCCTTGACGATCCTGTCATAATATGTCATTTGTCATAATAAAATTGTCATTGTCAACAAATTCTACCTCTATGGAATAGCGACGAACGGACGTCTGGCTATTTGTTCGGTTTTTGTTAAATATTTACTGCTTTATTATTAATTCGGAAAACTCAAATACTTATAAAACTGTTAATAATATCATAGTGATAAAGTTTATACCCATTTTAAAGTCTCAAATGTGTTTGTAAATATGTTGTCGAGATTTCACCATTATCACGGGTCAAATATAATTTTATTTGAGGATAATACAGTTGCGTATAGGAAAGCAAGTTTTGCTCATGGATTGACGTTTAGTGAAAAGCCCCTGTTGCCGGGGGAGATATTTTTGGTGGAAATTGAGAAAACTGAACGAGGATGGAGTGGTCATATGCGACTTGGTCTGACTCTGCTTGATCCTCAGACGGCTGCGTTAGGTGATAAAGGATTACCACAATACGCATTACCTGACCTTGCTAACACTGGTATGTCATGGATATTTCCTATTTCAAAGTCTCAAAACAATGTACTTGTGGAACTTGTAACTCAATCATCAAGTGGGCGGCGGGAGAATGAACCGCGCGTTTCCGTGCTGGGTGAGGGTCACGTTGTGAAGACCCCTCGCGGATATGTGTCCAAAATGGCCCTTAGACCACAGACTCTTTCACACAATGGCACTCCACAGGGCATCTTGCCAATGGATGCAGGTAGCCGGATTGGAGTTATGTTTGTTCCATGTCCTAAAGTGAATAAGGATGAGCCAGATCTAGCAGAGATGCACTTCATAATAAATGGTGAGGACCAGGGACCCTGTACTAAAGTTATTCCATATACAAGAGGTCCATTACATGCAGTTGTTGATGTTTATGGGACAACCAAACAAGTGAAAATAGTCCAACTATATGGAGGTAAGTGAATCATTGCTATTTTTATTAAATGCAATTTCTTATCACAGTTGTGACTTAACATATTGAAAATAAAATGTATCTTGTATCTATTTATTAATACAATTTATTAATGAAACCATTTTATTATTTTTTTTTATTTCCAAAAGTAATTTAATATTTTGATTTTTTATTACACCTACATTTTTGTAGTTTAATTTTTGACTTTACATACCAGCAATTGGCTTTACAATACCTATTTACATATATTTTATTTTTATTTCAGTAAAAACCCTACAAAGTACTTGTAGAGATGCGATACTACAGTATGTGAACAATGGCTCTATAAAGGCTCTGCCATTGCCGTCATGCTTAAAAGACTTTTTACTTTCATAGAGATGGCTTAAAAGCAAAGTGTGAACTGTTTGACAATAAGGCTGTTACAATTCTTTTTCGAAAAATAATATCTGAGTGATATACTTATTATTTAAATATACTTATTGGACGAAGAAAAAAATTTAATTAAGTGGCAATAAAATACGAAAGAACTTTGCAAGAATAACAATAAAAAGAAAACAGTGAAGTGTTATTTGTGGGCAGTAAAGGTTTTGCGGTTAACTGGAATGTTCTGTGGAAAGGTAAAAGGTATTTTAGGTTCTAATTTACCACTCTGCTTCTCTATTAGCTTCCTTCTAGAATCCATAGACAAGTAGTTAGATACTCCATAGTGTTACAAGTTTATATAACCAATAGTTCCTGCTGTTTATATCCAATGTTAAATTCCTGAACATGTACATATAATTGGTGTTATTCTTGACTTAAAAAGACTGAGGACAGCATTGTTGTCACTGGTTTTTACTTTAGAACATTTATATAAAAAAAATGATTTACCTACTGTTGAATTCGCAAACACTGGTCACACAATTAAAAAAGTTGTTGAAATAGCTTTTGAACATTCAGATTCAGGCTTAAAAATTGTTTTGAGAATTAAGCTTTTATAGATGTAAATAATTGGAGTCTAAAGATGGTTTTTCAGTATTGTGTTAGAAAAGACATTATGACAGCAGTATCAGAAAATTCAATGAGAAAAAGAGAAGGAATGCTTTATAGTTATTGGGTTGTATAATGACATGGTAATTTGTATTTTTGTTCAGCAGTTCAAAGTAATGGTGCTATTTATAAGTGTAAGACCATCTTCATTCCACATTTGTACCAGAATGAGGATGGTGCTAACAAGTCATTATACCTACAGTCTCCATTTTCATCTTAGAAATTTTGAAATATATTCAATTTTAGCTTTTATGAATGAATTTAGGAACATTTTCCAAAATAGGAGGTATTTATTCAATTGAACTGTGCATTGCAACATTGCAATTTATAAACATCACATTTTTTATAGGCTGAATACCAATGTGCTGCCATACTAATAAAAAAAAGATACAACAATAAAGTTGCATGTTGCAACTTAAATTTGATTATTTATTAATGAAGTTGTTACCACATCATTTAAATTTAATTTCCTATGAATAGAACTAAGTCTGGAATTCCAATTTGAGACTGGTCCTTACATTTTCGCCACATATTTATTAAAAATAATTTACTACCCTTTGGTGTTGCCATCATAACTTAACATATCAGCTACCATTTCTACCTATGTTTGTCTACTAATTAAAATATGTAGAATGAGCTTACAGGCAAAAGCTGTTAGAAATGTTGACCTACAAGAACAATAAATACATATAAGATGAAATAGCAACAATATTGTTGTCTCTTTTTTCTATTTATAAGTATGTTCAGTATAAAAAAGATGGGACTATATGCATTCACTCAATAATAGATTCCTTCTATATTTGATTGTTGTTTCTATAAGTGAATTATGTTGTAAATTTAATGATAATTTCGCAATAATTGAATGAATGAATGAATGATATTATGATCTTAGACTATGTATTCTAGAAAGCTAGTACCAGTGATTTGTTACTAGTACAAATATAATTTGTACTTGTGTTTAAACATTAAAACAAGTCATAGTCTATTAAAATATATATTTTAGTCATAAAACGAATTTGTAAAATTGTACTTTCTTTTTTATATTCAATGTTGTGAATAGTTAGGGTGAAAACAGGACTTATGTTTTTTTTTTCTGTTAGTTAAATCCTAGTTTTAGTCACTACCTGCTTACTAACGAAGTTGAAGTTATGTTACAAGTTTTTAACAACTCCTTAAAAGCAGTAAACACAAATCACTGGATAATATTTCGATCTGAAGTGGTCATCAGTTACGGTAACCACTAAGGCTATATTTTGTTAAATACTCCACTATGAAATTAGAAAATAGAACACTGTTGCCTATGCATATAAAAAAAAAATAGAAGCCTTTTATTTTAAAGGCGAACACATTTATACTAACAGATTTACATAATACAATATAATATTACGCATTTTTAAATAATTTGTGAACATTATTATGAAATAGCATTGTATAAAATATTTTTATACATAAATAGGTATCTAACTTATTACTACCTACCTACTTATTACTAAACCATAACGTGACGTAATATTTGTTATTTTCTTTTGAAGGCTTAGCTTTAAAATAATGTAACATATTTTTATTACTAGAGTGTAAATTTTGAAAATATTTGTGTATCTATGTAGTACTTATTTTAACCAATATAGTTCCATAGTTTAGTGCCGTTCATAACAATGGCGTAACGATTCAAATTTGACCTCTTTTGCGTTGAAAAGGCCAAACTCGGTAACCATAACCAGGTTTATGTCGACATTAAAACTGGCAATACCAATACTTTTTAATGTATAGTGGAATTTCCAGCCATTTGTAATGCTAACGTCACTCAACTATGCAGTTCCAAAATTAAAACATTGTCGATGCAAATCCACGACGAAAGTACTCAACTTTGATTATTAATATGTCTAGATGGAGTGTCGCCCTACAATCATAACAAAGAAAACGAGTCAACTATTTCAAGCATGTGTGCGTGCAGGCGTCGTTTTACACTGCGCGTCAATGTCTTTGTGTGCGTAAACAATACGGAATAATGATACCAGCTACTACAAATTCTCCCATAAATAACATTAAAAATAGAATAAATAAAAAACTTTAGGGTTGTATGTATGTATGTACCTAGTGTTATTCAGTTTTAGTGTATTTTTATATTTAAGTTGTTGCTGTTTTAACTAAATTAAAGACACCTATTTAATTAAAATTGGGTGGTAGAATGTTGTACTTAAATCAATTAGGTAAATTATACAAGTATTACAATATTTGTATAAATTGGGACTTATTCGCAGTATTACACTTATTACTAAAATGGTACGATACCTTTTTCTTTACCCGACGTGACGTTTCGGCCGAATTGCACTGACCGTGGTGACGGGTGGACTCGCCCGATACGTCGGGCGAATAAAGCGACGGGGAAAAGGTGTCGCAATAATATTTATATATATCGTTTCAAAAATATGAGATAATAAAGAATATTACGCTCATACATATACACGACTAGTTGTTTCCCACGGTTCTACTCGCATCGCGCACCCGTATAAAAAGTAGCCTGTATGTTATTCTGATGTATAAGCTACATTACTGCCAAGTTTCATCAAAATCGGTTCAGCAGTTTTTGCGTGAAGGAGAAACAAACAAACATACAAACTTTCGCATTTATTATTATAGTAGGATATACGCGATAAAAAAAAAACATAACTCTTCTTGGAAGTCGGGTAATAAAGAAAAAAGTCTGTTCAGAAGTTATTATATAATTTATCGCCTTATCTCCGACATTATTAGGCCTAAAATTGAGAAAATATACTACAGATAATATGTACCCATAGATTCTAGGAAAATATACGATTTAAAAAGTGATATTTAAAAAAATGTTTTTGTTGGGAACCCTTTGCACTCGAGTTCAATTTGCATTTGACCAGTAAAACTTTAAAAAGTACATGAACGAAATTGTGTAGACGTAACCAAAAACTAACTAATATTTACCCACAAAAATGGGAGAATGAAAAACAGAAACTGGCAACACTGATAAGACGAAAAAATATGGCGTCATTTGGTAAGCATTAAAACAAAAATTAAATATATGTAATTTTCTTGGCTACTTACTGATGATAGGTGAGGTGTTTGGTATTTTTTGCCCTTCCTTTATAATTCCGGCACATTTTTAAAGCACATACCGTCATTTTATCGCTGTTATTAGTTTTTTTCTTAGCGCGCGTAATGCGTAGTGACAATACAGCGACACGATATGTACTGATCGGCGGGTAAGCAACTGTCGGCCAACAGTTGGCCGACACTTTTTGACACGTTTGCGCGCACTTGACGCTCTATCTAGACATATTAATAATCAAAGGTACTCAAATATTTTTACAAAATAACAATTGTAAATTTTATACCTTTGTATATTATCTTTTATTTTCATTCCATCCTCGGTAATTAGAATGTAGAGTTGTTCATGTTACGATAATTTCTTAATTGATGTTTTATATGAAAATGAAAATGGCTGTATATTATTTTTGCATTGCGGATTTGATGATAGGGATGTGGTAGACGAGATTGTGAGGCTTATGTGCCAAAAGGCAGATATTGTTGGCGCCATTTTGCCACGCCACGCCTGTACTATACCCATTTATTTTAAATATTAATTATGTTTTAGAAGCTTAGACCACAAACATTGAACACCAGTTGTAAGACCTCTATAGATATTTTGTCCCTTTCACCTTTAAAAACTAGGTATTGTGCCCTGTAATTTTAGTTATTCGGCAATTATGTAATATATTAATATACCTATGCATTATAATGTAGATAAAAAAATGCTTGTAGGTATGTTTTAGTCTGGAATGAGAATTAACTCTGTAAATTTTTGGCTAAGCCTAAAGTTCTAAAACTCAATGGTAAAAGCCCAGCGCGTTGCATTAAGCTCAGAAAAATAGTCTTTATGTCGTGATTGTTATATATTTTCGTGGAAATAGGTAATGTATAGTTTGTATCACAATCTCGTCTACAGCAGCCCTTAGTGAAAATGGTAGCTATAAAATTTTATTATTCAATAAAATTATTTTTGCCTATCACTTATGGATTTTCATTGAAACACAACGAGTAGGTTATTTCAAATTTTCTTTATTTAAAGCAAACCATAGATAAAATATAAACTTAAATAATCCTCCTTTAAAACTAATGTTGGCATACATTTAAGAATAAGTAGTAAAAAGATAAAAACAATCTTATTTATCTAAATCAGTTGGTAAAGGTAAGGTGTATGGTATAATTGTACTGTTTTGAGGGTCGAAATCTCTGAAGTCCAGCAAATTGTTCGGTTCCACATGTACGGACCAGTAATCTACGTATTTAGGGTCTAAGATGCCTTTCCAGTGCTGAAAACAGAGTATTTATTTGATGAGATGATTTTTTGAATGTAGTTGCAGGCAATTATAATGTTTTGGGTAGGTTAGGTCGTCCGTAATGACGATTTTTACCCCTGATTAATCACTCCTCCCTGAACACTAAAATATACCTAAAATTCACCTTCAAAGAATGGTAATTCAAAATGGAAAAACAATATGTATTGCATGAAATTACCCAAAGTCTTAACGGTCTTTGACAAGTTTTTTTTTGCCAAACTCATTGCAGTACTGTAAGGCGGGTCGTGTTCCACGCGCGCAATAGACCACAGATGGACGTCCAACCGGGGTTGCGGAAAAAAAAGCAATCCGCAAGCAAAGTTTTAAGTCCGCGGCTCCGGCCTAGAGTAGGAGAAGGAACGGGGTGTTTTTTAATCAGTAAAAGTCTGACACTATGGGCCAAAGAAGTCATTTGATGATGTTCCCCTCACATAAAAAAGTTTAGGTGGTTTGGGGTATTTAATTAAGTTTATTTGAGAAATATCATCGCCAAATGATTTCTACCGCCCTGGATTGGGCGAGAGGGAATGTCAGACTTACCTACAGATTATAAACGCAAGTACAATTTCACAGTGAACAAATAAGCCGCAAATGTAGCTATGTAAGCAGTTTAACCACCTACAATCAGCTAATATGATTTAAGTAGTTAACTGCCTATCTTGTTACTTAGATAAGTAGGCAGCGGTTCCTTTGAGTATAATTGCAGTTGTGGGAGTCAGATTCCGTATCTCAGTCACTCGACCTTTGCAATGATCCAAATTGAATAAATTGCTTCAACCTAATTTGGCGGAAATTTGCCACTAGAACGACCGTGGCCGTAATTTTGATCTGTTTAACTCATGAATCATCATATTCATCATCGTGTCATTGGCCTAACGTGTAGATATATGAATAAATCTGGCTAGAAACTAAACCAGAGAGTTCCGAAACTAAGGTTTTCTGTCGAGCTCACTAAGAATGAAAACAAAAAAATAATGCCTCCAATTTTGATAAATAAAAAAATAGTTAGTTATAACATTGGCGTGTTATCAAAAGAAATAATTTTGTGGTTTTTAGCCAGTAAGAATCCTAGTTGTCTCCCCCAGGGCTGATAAAGGGATTTGATTTGATTTTCTCGCCAAAAATAAAGGTATCATGTGAAATCATGAATCAGCTCTACAACACCTAGACCTCCACCTCTTCAACGTTCTAAATTAAATATATGATCGCCATGAATCAATGAGAAGTGGCACTTTGCTACAGACTTTATCTGCGCTCTAAATTCTAAAACAATGTCTCAGTTTAATAATAGTGCTCAGGTTACCTACTTACTTAATTTATGTTCAAACAAACAATGTCTAGGTGCAATGGCCTGCAAGCATTTGTGATAAAAGGCGGTTAGGCAAACGAGTAGGTACCTACCTACTTAATTTTTCTACTAGATTATTTTATATTTTTGAGGAGGGATGATCACCAAATGACTTATCTCATCCTGGGTGGGAATCTGGAAAGAAATCCCTTACACCCGAAGGCAAAAATGGCATTCCCGTCGTCTTCAAACGCAACACGAAAGGCAAAGTACCTACACAACAGCAAAAAACAAAAGAAGTTCCTAGAAGGCAATTCAACTCACATTGCGTGTATGTTCAACCCAACAAATGAGAACAAGATTGGAGTACTGCTTAGAAAGGTCCCGAGCCTTATTAAGGTAGCTGTATGCTCTATGCTTCTTGCCCCTTATGTTCGCGTAGTATGCAGACATAAGGCAAAATCTGAAACATTTAAAAGTTGGTGGTTAGTGGTCACCTCGTTAGTTTAATGGTTACAACGTAATTGCTTGGGTCCTGGGATGGAAAAAACCAATACATTTGGATCTTATAAAAATCGTAAAAAGGTATTGCACCTACCAACTATTTTAAGCACACCTCTGCTCTGTTACGGAATCAGCCACAGCCGTAAGAGCCGCATTAAGTATGGCTTCTTTATCAAAAATAGAGACAATATTAACAAATACAAAGAATTTAATTTTGGCATTTAACTTCGATTTGTTTAAAAATAACCTCGTTACCTTGTCCGATACAGAGGAGATTTCACGCATGCCTTTTCCATGTCAAGAAACAATTGTTTTAAGTATTTTTGTAACACCATTATCTTCTTTATGTTCCTGTTATCCATCTGTCGAAAACATTTCATAAAGTAGGTACGTCATAACCTATCTATAAAACTCATCCAAGATTCTGGTGATAAAGTGTGATAGATTCTTGTTCTTCCCTAATGAAACCGAAAACCTGTTCCGAAAGAGAAACGGATGACAGAGATTTCATGAAAGTTCAGTGTCCATTTCTGATTTTAGAATCCGTCAGAAAAGAGGATGTTGCCCCATAGTTAAGGGAAACTAACTCCCTCTTTTCTGTCGCCCATGTACCATCAAGGGCCTAGGACTTGATGGTACATGGGCCTATCAATCTAGATATCTATTATTATATTGATAGAAGATCTATCAATCTTCATTTATGCCTTATTATATTTTAATGTGTCAGACAAAACTCACCTCCCTCACCAAAGCAATAAGGAGACCCTCAACCAATCTAATGACTATCATCATGTTGAATTCATTTGTGTTCAATTTCATAGACAAAAGCTGTTTGATTTTCTCCTCCCACAGTATGGATCGCTCCCATGCACCTACCCTGATCGTTCTGAAAATTAGGTTAAAGAAGAAATTAGGCGGTAGATTTTTTTATGTGATTTGTCGGCAAACGAGCAAACGGATTACCTGATGGAAAGCAATCAGCGCCGCCCATGGACACCCATACCAACGAGGAGTTACGAGCGCGTTGCCTAACTTTTAGGGATTAGGGATTTGGGATTGGGAAGGGTAAGGATTGGGCCTCCGGTAACCTCACTCACACGGCGAAACACAACGCTGTAGTTGTTTCACGCCGGTTTTCTGAGAGGCCGTGGTACTACTCCGGTCGAGCCGACCCATTCATGCCGAAGCATGGCTCTCCCACACTTTGCCCCACTCTATCAGGATAAATAGAGTTAAATCGAGGATAATTACCAACTGGGCACTGAGATCAGCACCGACCAGAATGACTAATGCCTATTGCCAGTAGAGTAACAAGACATCAAATGGTGCTCCCATATTTATTTGATGACTTAATGTAACTATGAGCTTAGCGTATTTAGTAAAGAAAGATAATTTTCACTTACACCAGCCACATGCATACAAAAAAGTTCCAAGCGGCTTCAGGAGTCTTCGATCTCAGTAAAGCATCCCCTTTCTTCATGTAAAACTTCTCACAAGTGCCGTATGATTCCACACAATAACCAGTGTCAAGAAGTATCACTATGGCATAATAATAGTACCAAGTTTCGGCTGGAATAAGCGATTTGAAAAATAGTTACTTCAGTTTTCTGGCACTTACCAATTGGCGCTAGTGAGGCAAATAGTCCTGTCAGTTTTACCTGCTAATAAATCTATATATACATTTAAATAAGAAAGTCCTGTTAGTTCCACTATTTATAACTCAAGAACGGCTGAACTGATATGGCTGAAAATTCGTAGGAAGGTAGCTAACAACTGGGAGAAGGACATAGGATAGGTTAGAGTAGATAGTGTAGGTTAGGTAGAGTAGGGTAGGGTAGGTACAGTAGGGCAAGATAGAGTAGGGTAGGTAGTGTAGGGCACATAGAGTAGAGTAGGCAGGGTAGGGTAGGTAGTCAAATGATAAACGTGGAGATAGTTGGCATGTATAGGGAACAAGGTACCTACTATTGATTTCTAAATATGAATTCAATCACATGTTTATAAATTCCTAATTTCTGCTAGAAGTGGGTTTGTCAATGCACATTTTCACGAAAAAAAACGGAATCACTGGTGTACCTATTTTATTTATATTTATTTATGGGCCAGCATTTGGGTTCACCTTGGGGTAATAAGCGATGAAGCACAACTACCCATGAGTAACCTATTCACTCGTGCTTTGGAGACACCCATGTTACACTCTTTGGGAAACACAAAACTGCAAAAAAATCCAGTCCATCCTTCGCAGTTCTGATAGTTCTACGGAACGCTTCGCGTGTACGGGTGGGGTATCCACCACGAAGCGATTGCATTTTCCCGTTTTGTGTAAGTGGATGATAAAAGAACAACTATAAATAATGGGGGCCTTTATGTACTACAACTACTCACAGCATAAGTCATAGTGATCAGTCAAATAGAAGAACTCCCTCATAATAGTGACCATGTCATTAATCTTCAGGTCACTTAGCAACAACTTCAGCATACACAGCACTAATGACTCTCGCGTGTTCATCTCAGTCCGACTGCTTAGCATGTGCATCACTGACAAGCCAAACTCCAAGCTTTCTATCTTTTTACCACGATCCACACTGCAAAAGGTAAGAGTGAAAAGCGTGGGAATCTGGAAAAAGTTTTTATCGAAAATGGAACTAAGCACTATATCATAAAATGACATGTTTATGGTAAGCAAGCTCTTTTGGGGGTCAGGGATTTCAGGATTGAAAAAAGGAGGGAAAGTACTAGGTCTCCAGTGACCTCACTCACACGACGATTTTCTGTGAGACTTTGTATGCTTTTAGAGGTATCATTCCGGTCGAGATGGTCCAATCGAGCCGTTGCATGGCTCTTCCACATTGAAACAATGAAACAATGAATTTATTTTTGCAAATAGGCCATAAAACGGCACTTTTACACGTCAATTTATATGTGAAAAATTAGATGAAGCCGGCATTTCCTATCTGATATTGATGATATAGGTACTTAATTAAAGTAGTAAACATTTTACTAACTAGAAGAGAAAAATGCTCGTGTATAGATAACAGACAGCTGGCACTTCAGTCACATCCAACTGACCACGTTTGCGACGACAAATCTCCATGGCTCGCTTTTCCAGCTTTTCGCACATCGAGAACTATTTTAATACAGAAAAAGTATATATTAAAACCCAAAATTTATAAGGGGATCGATTTAAACTCATTCTGCAACTCGCAATCTTGCAAGTTTTAATAATGACGTCATCGATGAATAACCTGCATCGTGAAAGTAGATAATCAACTTTGTGAAATGTCGTTTCGAGCTGTACAAATATATGGGTACCTACGTATAATATTTATGTTCACTGAGACATTACTAAGAATTTCGTTGTGTTTTCGAATCAATACTTTATGCAAAGTTCCCATTGATGGTATTCACAAACGACGCTGACATTATTTGTATGAAACACGCTTAGCCACGCCATTTTTGTAGCTTCAAACTTACTTTTGAATACAAAATAAACGTATTCATTTTATTACAAGCTACCACAACATCATGGCTAACATATTTATCACACTAATTATACGTATATTTAGGTAGTTTAATAATCTAGTTTTCTGACCATTCAACGTTTGTCTAGTAAATATTGCTATCAGCGATATGGTCAATGTAAATGTATACCTACCTACTTTAGTAATCTAGACAAATAGCCCGGTTAAACAGACGTCATGTTGTGTATTGGGTTAAATATTTGAATCGATATAACTTTCCTAATAGAAACAACTACAAATATCGTTGTTGTCAGTCCAAAATCTTTGTATTTCGGCCGTATCGTCTAAAATACCTACTCCTTTTCAGCAAAGAGTCAAACCTATTTTATCTCGGATCTCAAAAGCTATTTTGGACCAACCTACCTTTTGCCTTTGTCCATAATCTGCAATCATATTCGCGTAACTGACACACAAAAGTCGAAAGTTCGAGTTTGTGCGTAAAGCATACTGCAGGCACCATTTGGCTGCTAATGTTGCGTTCGCAGGCTCCTTGGCTTCCTAAAGAACAACGTTAACCGTAATTAATTAAAAAGGATTGTTTATTAATACAAGCGTCATAAGGTAAAATCTTAAAGTTTTTCTTTTCATTCTGCATATTTAAAAGAGAGACCTGTAGATGTTGTAGAGTTTTTTCTAAAGAAAAGAAAATTACTATGGACTATGGTATAACATAAAATCGGGAGCTAAAATCGCCATGCTTGGCAAGCTAGTGAGATCACAGTTCGATCGGTTATATTGTGTCACGTGAGTTCTTAATCGGCTGAAGCAACGCCCAATATAGGGCAAGTCACAAATGAAAACTACGCTGGCGTCGCTTTCGTAAGACTAGATAATATAAGGTACCGCAACCTTGGCCGGATGCAGGAGAAGAAACGGGGGGTTTTTAGTCAGTAAGAGTCTGACACTCCCTCTCGCCTCAATCTGGGAGAGAAAAGCCATTTGATAACTTTCCCCTCAGAAAAAGACTATAAATTGTCTTACCATAAATAGCCTGTACAGCCTATATAGAGTATATGCGATATCTTCATAAAAGCTGCCTATTATTCCGCTCTCCCTTTCAATGTAAAAGTTCGGAGCGACGTACAGAGCCATGACTTGGTGGAAGGACGCTCCCATATTAGCCAGTCGTATCATGTGTCTGCAAGAAGTTGTCGACTTTAAACTTTGTACGACAAGAATAAAACATTTATTTAGGAAGAAACATTCGATCTAGGATGAGTAGAGGGATATAACGCAGCACCACTCCTACTCTTTGAGGAGTGATGGGCGTAGAAGTTTCTGCAGGTAACTGAAACGAATTCAGCGGGAAGAAATCCCCGGGCGTCGTCACTGCGAGGAAGACTCTAAAGCCAGGTAGTCCAGCTATCCTCCTCATGATCGCGTGACCCTCTCCGGCTACCGTAAGCGTTATTCTGTGGATAGCGAGCAAGACTAGCTTGCCATCACAAATATTTAGCCTGCTTAGTATTATCAGTATCATTTTATCAGGGTCGATGCCCAGCCGTTATTGCGGGTGGAAGCGCAATGATATACCGCAGTCTGATTCGGTGCAGGACAAGGCACGGGGATTTTAGTGGATGATATTAAATATTAGGAAAAAATATTTAGTTTTAATTCCGCGACAAAAATCCAGGCTTCTTGCAGGATGCAATCTCACTCTTATGCAATCATGCATATGCACATGTAGCAAGGGTAACATGCATATGCACACATACAAAAAACGGAAAAACATGCCACGCAATCAAAACTATACTCAAGGAGTATAGGTTTGCATCCTGCAACAAGCCTGGATTTTTGTCGCGGAATTTAAACTAAATATTTTTCCTAACATTTAATGTCATGGATTTCCGCAAAGTAACGCCTGATTCTATAAATTATCTTTACGGATGGTATCCCCCCCGTAACAAAAAAGAAAACTATGTTCTAGTACATTACTATTATTTGTCTAACCATCTTATTATAATATTGCAACTATCTACATTTAATTTCGAGACCAACATACAATATAGTTGTTTATTACTTACGTGGAAGTGGGAAAAGGATGTCTATACAATTTCATCGCATGAAGCAAATGCTTCCGAGCCTCGCTGTGGTCTCCGGACTCCAGCATGCATATTCCACGCAACGAAAATATGTTTGCCATGCAAAAATCTCTGACCCATTTCTTATTCAGATTCTTTGGGTAAAAATCCTCGGTCTAGAAGATCACAAACATATCAATTCAAGAAAAATATCTCTTCAAGTTCAAGTACCTATTAAAGCCTAAGCAGTCATCTACATTTTTGTTAGTTTGTATGTTTGTAGGTTTGTATGTTTCCATTTGATCGTAGCGGGATGTTTTGTAGTTTATAGCACTCAAGAAAATTGTAACTATGTATTTATCAGTGAAAAAATTTTGGCAATCCGACCAGCGGTTCCAAAGATTAGCCCCTACATACAGACTTACAAACATACAAACTTACAAATCTTACCTCTTTTCAATATAAGTATAGATTCTCTATACAGGGTCCCAAAATTAAAAAGATATAGCTACCTCTATAAAATTTTCGACTTCATATAACAAACGGACAGCTTGCGGTATGTTAATGTTTATATTAATGCACAAATCTGCGTACTCCAAATAGGCTTCATAAAGTTTCTGAAATTCACCTGTGGAAACATCGAACATAATTTTAAGTTTTCAGGATTTTAGAACCCCACAGTATTGTAGGGTTCTAAAATCCTGAAAACTACTTAACTGATTTCATATACATAATAACCTTAATACCTAATATTTTAATTAAGCACGTTTTCAAAAAATATAGGCAAACAACAACCAACTTAAAATCACGCAGAACTAAAGTACTCACTTAAAGAGAAGCTATTTCGAAAAAGTACTTAAGTTTTAGGCTTTAATAATTAGCTTATGAGCTTTGACTAAAACCGAGTTTGATTAAAATCGGTTTGGTAGTGTAGTTTCCATTACTTGGACGTGAAAATTGGTAGGTGCTTAATTTCGAAACCGTAGCCGCGTAAAAGCGTTTAACTTCCACTATTTTATTTCTTAAGTAAGTATACCATTTTCCTACAATAGCAAAACATACCAGCTCCTCGGCAGTGGTCCAGAACCTGACTGTAAACGCAAAGAAGTATAGAAATACATTCGCAATTCTCTATCTCCATGGAAGAAAACGAACGAACGCGCTTGTTCTTCGAATAAATCAAGTTCTCCGGTCGCCTAGATTGACTTTCTGAAAAAAGATATTACAAAGACTACCTACATGTTATGTTTATCAAGTTCATAGTTACAATATTCATCGTTATCATCAGCCTATAAGTGTCCAGTGCTCAGACAAGGCCCGTTCTCACAAAGATGTTTGAGAACAATTACCACGCTTGCTCAAGGCGGATTGGCGATTCCAAACTTATAATTAGAAACTATAAGTTCCTCAAAATGGTTTCCTTCACCGTTTGTCAGTGGTAGACTCCACCAAATAAACCTAGGAAGTACACGTTACTTAGAAAGCCACAATGCCCCTTAGTCTGCGGGCTACCACGCCATTTTGTTAGACTATTACCAAACACAAAATACTAATTCCAATTCAATATTTCAATAGTCAAATAAAATAATAAGATACCCATTACGCGGCTCATCCAGTTGCCTTCGGTTTCCAAGAGCTCGTAATTAGATAGATCTGCTGGCATGTTAACCTTTAAAACAAAACAGAAGGTGTGGATATTCTATTTCAAAGTTGTTTGTCATTTTCTCTGGAATTCTGTATTCATGTTTTAGCATAAAGCATTCAAGAGGAATTCAACAATATTTATGCTTTAATGTATACGAAATGGAAAAAGCATTTGTACCTAATATCTACATACGAATGCAAAAGGCAATTTTTTGAGAGAGCAAGTAATCAATCGATTTTACTCGCCCTTGCTTAGGTTGAGACGGAGTGTCAAACTATTACTGACTAAAAACCATCTGCTGCTTCTCCTGCTCCTAACCGGGGCAGGGTCGCCTTAATTACCTATTGTGCTTGGACCCACAAACCCGAAAATTGAACATTATTTTAATTGAATTAAGTTCTTTTTACAAGTTTTATTGTTATAACAGTTACCGGATAGTCCATGCTAGCATCATTGAAGTAGAAGTTAGTCTTTTCTTCACCAGCAATCTTAGCTTCAGCACTTAGGGCACTGATTTGCAGACGAGTTCGCTTTAGTTCTTCTGTTTCAGGAATTAATCCCTAAGAAAGGAACCGTAGCTGTAATAATTTAACTAAAATTCCTATGGTTTAGTACCGTGACTGTCATCCAATTATCTGATCTGTGTCATTACTATGGGACTCAAAGTCAAAGTCAAAATCATTAATTTCAATTAGACCACTGTACTTTTGAACGTCAAGCAAAAAAAAGAAGAAAAGGAAAATATATTTCAAGAGGTTTAAATTTATGCGTGTCAGTCTGTCCGTCTTTCCTCTAGTGAAGCTGTTGGCTCGTTCCAAAATGTATATTCATTTAGTGTTCAAAAGTGGAGAAGAACCAGCAAGAAACTCCATGGTTACTCTTTTTCAATCAGTTTTACAATTTATTTCTTAGTTACATCAACTACCAACTTCCTTTGTTACATCGACTAATTCTCATAAGTGACTTTTTGTTTCATTTCGACATCCATAACATATCTGCGTGCGATTTGTCGCTCACGAACAGTTCCAGCATGGTTTCAATGAGCGCATTCTGAACGAACGGTTGAAAACAATACCGTAACAAAAGTCAGTAAACAACAAAACAAAAAATAAATATTCTTGTTACGCACATCATCACAGCGTAGTCCAAGAAGTTTCGAGAAACAACCAGCGCCACAGCTGGTGCACCTCCTTGTGTATCGCTCCAAGTAGAGTAGAGCGCGGGCGTGCATTTCATGCTGTTGAAGTAGCAGATAATTGTTTAATAAGTATACATACATACATACATCACATACTTAGCCTATAAATGTCCACTGTTGAGCAAAGGACTCCTCTGTTACAGAGAAGGGTTAAGCATTAATAACCAAACTTGCCGCAAGGCGGCTCGGCGATTTGAAACTAATAGATAATTGGTAATTTTAAAACCAGGTTTCCTAACAATTTCTTCAATGTTATACCTACGTATAAGTTTGTAAATATGGAGCAATAAACGGATGTTTGTTACCTATTTTTTCACGTAAAAACTACTAAACGAATGTGAACTAAATGTAGCACAGATATACGATTATAGTCTGGAATAAAATTTTACAGCATATAGGCCTCTTTTTATCCCGATACTGAAGGTGAAGGCATTGGAAAAAAGAGAGAAGCTAGTATCTCAATAGGGATTCAAGAAAGGCAGACTTTACCTTCTGCGTCTCAGTCAACATTTCATACGTAGTGGTCCTGAACAAGGAGTGTCGGAACTTCATGAAGCCACAGAAAGCGTACATCGGTAGATCTCGGCAGTTTGCTGTAAGTAACATACTTGTAACATGTTTAGTCGCTGATTGGTATGCGCAGAATTCCAAAAGGTCCCGAAAAATTTAGATACTTTCCTTCTAAAACGTTAAACTTAACTTAGCCACCATTCTCAAAATAGGACAAAGTTGGTTAGGCTTGGAAAAAAAAACAGAAAAAAAACATTCCGAAGGAATCACAAAGTTTGAAAAATAGCTCATTGATTTTAATATCCTGCCTGATATTCAAACTGACATAGGTATCTGGTATACCTACATATACTTCTCCATTGCAATATTGTGATAAAAATAAAGCTGACTTACGAGGCTGCCGGGTTCCCAAACAGGCGCAGTATGGAGGTTTAGGGTCCGGGACCGATGGAGCTGGATGTACCAGGACTAAGGAAGTGTCATGAGTGAAATCCCCTCCCTCGCATTCAAGTACACGAATTATAAATAACTTCGCAATGGCTGTAGAAGATATGAGAGGTTATAACAGTTGCTTTCAACAGTCATACTTTAAAATTGCAGAGGATTTGAAATCTTCTGGACAGCCTAAGTTGGTTTTATAGATGGAAATCGATTCGAAAGTTATCAAGACTTTGATAAATAAGTCTAAAACCAATAATTTATAAATTATACATATTAAATACACTTGAACTAAAGTTTGATAATTGTGACAAAATATGTCACAATTATCAAACTTTAGTAGACAAATGATAGCCGTTAATACCGTTTATAATTCCAGTTAATCTGTAAAATAATTCACCTTGGGCTACTTTTCTTGGAGAATCACATTGCAATAGATTCAAAAGCATTCTTCGGGAGAAGACGTCTCCGAGCACGGAACCACATTTCAACAGCATCTTCTCAAATGGAGTCAAAGAGTCGTAAGTTTTCAATATTATTGCTGGAATTAAGAAAAATATATTCTGTCCAACTTCGTATTTGGCTTTTTCTGAGGATGTAAAATCATCAAACTGAAGGTGAAGGTTTTTATGGAATAGGAGGCGAACGAGTGACGAATCAACTGATAGTAAGTGATCAGCGCCGTCCATGGACACCTGCAACATCAGAAGAGTCACAGGCGCGTTGCCGGCCTTTTAAAAAGGAGTATCTACACTTGATTCTAGAAGGTTTGGAGGTAGGAGGAAGTGTCAGACTCGTACTGCATTAAAACCACTTTCCAACTCCTGCTCGACGAATTTATTGACCTACTGTTGAGATGGTATATTCTGGTATATTCATTTTGACGGGTTGTAATTTAAAATACCTCTTCCAAAAATATTCTAAAAAAATCCGTAGGCGGGAAATCTTTTTACCATCCATAGCCATATCGACCTTAATGTCCTCGAAAGCGTAGGAGTCAGCGAGCACTGCTACTTGAACCGTATTGTCACCATCCTGTTCGCTCGGCTGGTCCTGCTTACTCAGCATACTGACGCTCATTAAACTATAAATACTCTGAAATGATTTTGTTATAACTATCGTGAGACATTCTAAATTAATTATTATGTTTTCGGCTTACTCACGTACCAATTTGACGAGATACTTGACTAGTTTCAAGCCATGCTAGAGACCCATATTCCCAGTAGCAGCGCGACAGTCGTCGAGTCGCGTGTCCCGGAATGCTGTTCATGAATATGGGCCTCTCTCACATAGGTACTTACACGAGCCACCCAGACCCAAAACAACAATTTGTGGATCCCAATTAGTGTTGTCCCGTGTGGGAATCGAACCCCCGACACATTACACAGCAGCCAGTTGCCCAGCAACTCCCCAACCGTGCAGTCAATTCTTCTCATAAGTCTAATTTTTTGTCAACAACAGAAGTAAGAATCTTTTGAAAAACCTGAAAGCTATGTCTTCTAGTCAATTCTTCTTCTTCTACGTCAACGACCTTCTGTAATAGACTTGAAGCTGGCAGCACAAGTCCTGGCTTTTTTTGAACCTCCTGGCGAGTCATCGTGACTATAATCAAAGCTCCTCTTTGCACTAAGGCGATCAAGAAGTTTTGTATCCAGCCTGGGGACCCACCACTGGCACTTTCGATGACCCTGGAAACCACATTTAGTGTATTCACAACAACCAACATCGAGTGTGGAAGAACCATGCTTCGGCAGGAATGGGTCGGATCGAGTGATACCACGGCCTTACAGAAAACCGGCGTGAAACAACCACAGTGTTGTGTTTTCCCTAAATCTCTAAATCCCTAAACCCCAAAAGGCAACGCTGTTTGCTTACCATCAGGTAATCCTTCTGCTCGTTTGCCGAAATAACGCATCAAAAAAGTTCGTGGTGACGGAGAAATAGAATACACCAGCACCATCCCTGCGTGCGTGCGTGACTTCGTGAGAGCTGGAGCAAGCAACTAAGGGACTATTCCATTTGACAAAGATTAGAAAGCAGCACTCTCTAGTGAAGGAAGTAGTATATCACTAATTTTGTACTTAAGTAGTTACAGTCTATAATAGATCCTCTAATATACAGTAACAGAGGAAAGAGGAGAGGTATTTACTTTTCTAAATCGGCAGGTATAGCTTGTACGTCGAGTAGTTGGCAAGCAAGAGCAGCGTGATACGTGCGATCGATGCCAGCCAGAGGAACCTTCTTTATCATGTTGTTATGGAAGCAAGATTTTGCATAAACTAAAAAAGAAATTACCGTTTCATCACAAACAAATTGGGTAATTGGTAAGCTGACAACAAGGGGCTAACACTGCACATGCACTATCCGTAACAATTAAAATATACCTACTTCCGAATAGACATCAGCAACCGCTCTATTATGTGAAGTAAAGAATATTTAATGTTGCCCTACACTAGTATTCTCTTTTATGTCGTGGATGCGTTTACACACATACACAAACCACCCAGACCCGAAACAACAATTTGTGGATCACGCAACACGTTGCACAGCAGCTGCGCCAACCGTGCAGTCAAAGAATAATATTAATCCACGAAACACGTTTAATTACAAATCTGTATACCGTTGAAGCCTACATAACGTAACTGCTAAATATCTTGCAAGAGACATGTAGACAAAAAAATGGGAAAAAGCTTAGAAAAGTATACCAGAAAACAAATTTAAGTAATATGAATTAGATACCTGACATGGCATCGATATCAACGATGGAAAAGACAAAGAAGAGGATCTTAGTTTCCAACAGCATCATTATCAAGTGCCAAGATTCGTCATCTATGTATTGTGCTTCCTCGACAGCTACGACGCACATTTGGCCCAGGATCTTATTGGAGGTACATTATATATACATACATAGTTTAGTTACTGTATTATGTATCATATTATAGTTACTCTTATTTAGAACATAATCTACAACATTTAGAAAGAAAGAAATAAAATGCATTTATTCGGCATCAGACATAAAAGCCAGAACAAAACAAAAATACGCCAATTATACAGTATCATATACAGTTCTACAGGGTTGGCAGACATGTCTAAACCGAATGGGTCGCCAACTCAGCAAAAAGCTGGGCACACTGAGTACCCAACACTGATTTTCAGTAGGCACCCCTACAGTGACGCACGCACATTTCAAATGTTAGGTAATAATATGCGCTTACATCGGAGCATGGATTGTTGCTTGTTTTGGTAAAATTACTTTGATTTTTTATACTTAGATTTTTTATAGTAAGTTTGTTTGTATGAAATCTATAAGTGATTTTCTATTTTATTCTGTTCGCCTACCTTTTTGCAAATATCTTGAATGATGATCTTGACAGTGAATTCGGACAGGATATCACCAGTATGTTTAAAGTTTTCTGGTAATGGAAACTGGCATTCAAAGATGGTGTTGATGCCGTAAACTTGAAGTGGAGTTGTATGTTCCATTATGATACTGGAAATGATAGAAATACACATGTGACCCGTAACAAAGTTTTTTACCAACCTACAGCCGAAAATGTGAAGAGTGCAGTTAAATTCCAAATGTGAAATGTCAGACACATTTGACCAACTTAGAGATACGATATTCTCTCGAGCTATTATACTTCTGAGAAAACCTTACGACCCACTCTTTCGTCGGTCCTAAGATCTAAAATATCATTAGCCCGAAAAAGGGTAATTTTTCTGCTTGGCTAGACAATTTAGTGGTGTCGTAGGACTTCTATTTAAGCCCTTGTTAACCACTCTACTCTGTTCGTCGCTATCACGAAATGTACATACATTTCCCTCATATGTCCAGGAAGCACTTTATCCAGTAGGTAGTTAGGGTTGCCACCTTTTTTTTGCAGTTAAAGTACATATCACAGACTTTTCAAAATCCCAAAAAAATCAAATCATACAAAATAAAGTATTTTCGTGTACTTTATTGTTCTCATAAAGTATAGAGTACAATTATATGAAATAGAGTACAATACTTCATTATAAAGTACGGGTGGCAACCCTATAGGTAGTAGACCAATACGGGCTTTTGATGTTGTGTTTACATTATGTTTTCCATTTTACAAAACCAGCTTAGATAAGTAATAAAACTTACGTCTGTCTAATTCTAATCTCCTTATTTTCTTGAGCATTCCTATTGCTTCCTCTTCTGAAGCAGTTACTCATAATAGATCGGAATAAATGATATGGCACCTAAACAATACAACAAAGTATATCGTGCTTGCTCAACGAAGGAGTTTCATATTATTAGGAGCAAACCTATATAATTATAATCAACAACATGTAAGTGTGGGAGAGCCATGCTTCGGCACGAATGGGTCGGCTCAACGGAAGTCATACCACGGCCTCACAGAAAACCAGCGTGAAATAACCAAAGAGTTGTGTTTCGCCGTGTAAGTGAGGTTATATATATATATATATATATATATATACAGACACCCGTAACAACAGAGGAGTTACGAGTACGCTGCCGACCTTTTGGGGATTAAGGATTTGCAGATGGGATAAGGAAGGGATTGGGGGAGGGGAAGACTTGGGCCTCCGAAACACAACTCTGTGTGTTCGAAGTAGGCCGCTCACATTACAGAATCAAGCTAATCACGAGAGATGATAAATGTCCACTTACATTATCACTGCTACATAAAACAAATTTTTTCTTCCTTATAAAGTCTGGTGTGACAAAGAGGCATTCGTCTATCATTCGTGTCTTCCCGATCAGCTTTTCTCCTGTAAAGGCTATCCCATAGATGTGATCGCGGTATCTTGTGAAGTTCTTGTTCTGCTGTTCCATAGCATTTTGGAGGGTCCTCTTGAAGATCCGCATTTCGTCGTTACGCCCTAGGATTGGGTGTCGACTGCAGGGCGGTCGTTCTGGCCATCTATTTCAATCAATTATTCTGAGATATGTAGGTACCTTTAACGCCTACCATAAAATAGCTATCGAGAGATATTGAGATTTAGTAAAGCCTGTTGTCGAGCCATGCGATTAATGTATATTTCTAAAGACTTTGATCAGAAAAGCTTGAGATTTAGAGTGCCAGTCTTTTATCCTACTTCCCAAACTGCCTTTTTATATGATATACGCCATTGTAATAAATTCTTTGACTTTGCCATGGACCGGCCGAACAGTTAGAAGCATATTTGGCCACTTTAGATGAAAATTTTTTTATCTTTACTGTAAGTACCCCATAAGAAGAATTTCTAAGAGAGAAATAGACACCGAGCAACCTAATACATATATTGATGGGTATCTAATTATTATAGGTGTACTTCTCTACTTTTAGCTGTGAACATAGAAACTAGACAATTAGGTATTACAAATAGCGTTGTAACTAACCCCGAATAATTAAATTCATACACCGGTCCCGGTTTAGCAATGCCCTTCAAAGGTTTCGACTCAAGTTGCTTGAAGTACTCCTGCTCAATCTTGCTTCTCAGGAAAGTCTCCTTGTCACACGTCACTTTATTTTGGTACGACATCATTAGCCTTGCCGCCTGAAAATGACATCTAGGTAAATGAACCCATAGAAATTAACCTAGCTTTTTCTAAGGTACTTATTAAAATTGTAGCTAGGTATTTTTTCCATAAAGCGATTGATGGTATCAATGTGATAGTATGAATATTAACTATAGAACTTCAAGTTTCATGCCTAAGTAGAGTTTTCCAAAGTGTAGGGTTCACTGATCATGATGGTACTAATTAGGCGATGGCATTGTAGTTAACACGTAGCTAGGAAAAGTATCTCAAAAAGGTGTAGAACGAGATTCGTGTCGATTATTAGGAAAAGAAATGACGTAAATCAACTAACATACAGAAGATTCTAGAAACTCCTAACTTAAGAACTCTTCAGTCTTTACCTTATTGACAGCAGGACCAATGACAGTGTACTCTCTTCTCAAAATATGACCAACCACACCACAATACGTTGTACCTGTCCATAATATAAAATTCTCGTGTCAAAATGTTAGTTACCTTAGACACTGCTCCGAAATGGCTTTAGATACTGATTTTTACTAAATTGTAAATGCATGTCCAGTAGGCCTGAGAATTAACCACTGGCTATTTTTTATACCCCTAAGTGATAAGGTCAGCCAGATATTTTTAAATATGCACCCGATTTTAACATTCATACAACTCACTGGCCTTCCAACGCAAAAGTAAAGTACACAAAAAGGTTCTATTTCCAAATAAAACGGACGATCAACTTAATAACTACGAGATTATTCTTGCCTACATTCTTACACATAATGTATACAAGACAAATCAACTCTGATTAATATTTCGTAAATTACACCAAATCTTACCAGAAGTAACTCCAATCGATACGTTAAGGACATTCGGATCAACAATCTGATCTTTGATGTGGTGGGCGCACAGTAATGCGTGCTGGGCCTCGTCTTCATGGCTGAGTCCCCTCAAACCGAATACTATGAGGATCATCATGTCCTTGTCAAACATGGAAACCTTGTTCACCAGTCCACCAGATTCTGAGGTAAGACTAAAAACGTAGCGAAATTGAAGAGTTGGTATGCAAGTAGGTACATAAAATTTATGATATTATTTAGGTTACTCTAGATCATGACGAAAAGGTCACCAATGACATATGTATACTTAATATAGGTAAGTTATCCTAGACACAAATATCGACCATTCGAGCTGGAATGGTCTATTAAAATGGTCTTCAAATCTTCAAGAGAACGAGCGATCTCTTTTATAAAGCTAAGATTGCATCTTTAACTCATTTGTGGTTAGGTAGGTACTTGTGTGCATCGACAGTGCTAATCGCTTAACATCAGCAGATACGTAGGTACCTACGTCTGTTCATTTGACGTACCTTATAAAAATAAATCCTAAATTTTAGATTAGGTCGTCATTTCGCGGATTCGTCTGTTCTAAGGAATTCGCAATACAAACACAACTCTAAAATATCTATAGTATGGAGGACAAAGAATTAAAGAAGAACAATTTCAAATTTTTCCTTTACCTCGAAACTTGTTTATAAACAGTATCAACTAGCTCAATAAGGACGTCAGGGGTGACAGTTCTGGTGATAATATTGAGGAACACCACGATGACGCGGCGGACTTCAGTGAGGAATTCCATGGGCTCGTCATTCTCCACGGCGCGCAGTACCGGTATAGCCATGAACCGGCGAAGTTCGGGGTACCATGAATTTCTAACTGCTTCGATTACAGCTGGCCGAACTAAAAGAACATTACAACTTAATTAAGAAGAAATACCTATAGGGCTATAGAGGTAGATGCGCTGACCTACAATGGCACTTTTGTGGTTGAATTTTACAAATGCTAAATCAAAGTCTTTTAATGGTTTTGTAGCGACATTTATCGCACAACATTGACAACAGCACCAATCACGTGCAAGTTTCTACATCGCGCTAGAAGAGTTTTCAACACAATTAGCACCGATACAAAACCCCGACAGCAACCGTCGGGCAGTAGCCCACCAGGTACGAACACCTCACCTGGTCGGAGGATCCTCCCTTTTCAATGGAGGATGAGGAACCTTTCCACCCTGTTTTCACATACCTCTTAAGTTTCATAATTGTCTCTAAATAAGTAATACTCTAAATATCTAATACTCTAAAGTTTTATAATATTTTTCATCATAATTTTATTATCTTAGGACAGCATGAGTGCTAAGCCTCGAGAGTAACGTATGACATAGGTTGGTCACCAATACGATAGGGCTCAACAAAAATTTGATTCAAAAAGCCCTAATGAACTGTACATAACAATCTGTAAAGTAAATCTTACGAGAAAACTCCTTGTACGTAATGAGATCCGAGTCCGTCGAAAAAGTAGAATCGCGATGTTCGGTTTGTCTTGGAAATCCTGCCGTTTCGGATGCTGGAAAGTTGACAAAAATGTATACTATTTATTTTTATATAGCTAAAAATTTTGCTTGTTTCAAAGGTAATAGAACAAAAGATACTGCAAGTAGTATAGTATTGGTTCGAAGTGTACTATTATTTTCGTCTTAGACAGTAATTTTTTGATGAAGGCCATAAAACACTAAACTGGTATTTACTAAGTTTAACTAATAAACACTACGCGGAGCAGTTTGCAACTAGTCTTTTCTGAGTAACAGTTCAGAAGATATTAAGCTACGGAATACAAAGATTCGACGAACGATCGACGACGAACGAGTACCTACAGACGAAGGCATGCCATCTGTAAATCCACTTTCTACGATAGATGGTTATATCTGGGGTGACTACTATACATTGGGAGTGTTGATCGCGTTCCATAGCACATTTAAAGGGTTTCAATCATAAAGAATAATTCAAAGTAGAATTAACACACTCACATTTTCTTTCCCCTACATTTTCTTGCAATTTTTCCACTCTCTTCCAAGAAGCACCAACTCCTAAAACCTAGATGAGGAAGGGAGATTAATGTAGGTGACAACTGTAGCTTATTTAAGTAATTTAAATTAATATCCATTGATAGAGTGGTAGCAAAGGTAAGTATGGAGTCCACAGGTTCATTTGAGTAGTTTTCCTGGTATATTTATCGTACCACCAGATAATCCGTCTTTTGCCGCCTTATCACATAAAAAACAAAATCTAAAATTAATAATGCAGCATTTAAAAGCATAGGCACAGGTGTACATACACAAGCCATCTAGACCCGAAACAAAAATATTATGAATATCACAAGATGTCTGATATCAAGATGATGTTTCTTGCGGGAATCGAACCAACAGAACGTTGCAAGGCAGCCAGTTGCCAAGCCACTGCGCCAACCGTGCCCTAAATAATGACGTCATATGTTGCGATCTCATACAAAACTCATATAAAAGTATCATGTTTGAAATATTTGTCATAGTCAAAATTTACAAAACTAGAGTCTAGAATGTGTCTAGTCAGTGGTAATAAGTTCGTCCCTATTGTTAGTGGTTGTATCATATATTATTTTGTATTATGGTTCGTTACTCAGTGTCGCTAATATATTACTACGAATAATAGTGGCCCGAGTATACTACCTTGTGGTACGCCGTGTGATATGGTTGGCACTATCATCATTACTTTTGATGAAAAATTGGTGTTTTACGTAGGTAATTGCCATGTTACGTTTTTAGGTGTGAAACTAATCAATATGTCAATTAGGTATAGGATCATAGATGAATATGATAACGTAGGTACCTACTTTATATTTCAATCTTATGCTAGGCTTATGTTATGTTAGGTAATCCTAACCTTTGTATGCCTTCCATCTCCACACGGCTGTGTCCAATACTCGGCTTCGTTAACATAGGTCCAAGCGCTGGCAGCAGTAAGCACATCTCCTGACTTCGACATATACTGCGCCATCTTCACATCCCACACTGGCTGGCCGATGATCACGTATGATGAACTTGATTGTGTCAAGTTCTCGTCTCCAATAATCGAAAAATGGGAGAGGCCGGCTGATATTGCCACTTTTACTGGTTTAGAAAAAAAGGAAGTGTTGTATGACGACGGTAAATAAGTAGATACCTCATGTGATTGGAACTGAACTTGTCAATTTAGGTAGCTACTAGACCAGGCGTGACAGGTGCCACTGTTTTTCTATAGATATGTATTTATGATATGTAGTTTTTTGGTATTAATTTTATTTTTCTTTTTTGAAGGTGAAAATGAGCAACTCGTGAGATAAAATTGTAGTGGTAAGGCACCTAATTATGTACGTAGGTATGTAACGACGATCTAAATATTCTCAGTTAGGTACCTAGTAAGTAGTATAAAATCACGACCGGTAACTATCTAGGTACAAAAGGCACACAGAACAAGAAGGTTGCGAACCACTCATTAGGAACCAGAAGCTTTAGATAGATACAATATAATAAGCATGGCTTATGCTTGGGCTTGACTGGAGTTGTATGGAAGACGGGTTCATAGAAACTGTTACTGGAGACCCAATCCTCCCCCCTCCCCCCATCCTCTGATCCCCTAACCAATAAAATCCCTAAGCCCGCAACGCACTTCCAGTAGGTAACTTCTTTGGTATACCGAGTGTATACTTGGCGGCGCTGATTGCTTACCATCAGGTAATCCGTCTGCTCGTTTGCCTATCTAGGAAAATCAGAAAACCAAAGGTAAGTTATATAAATAACTAAGATAACTGACCCTTCAAAACAACACCAACATCTGTAATAAAATTTCCATAATTCTTCTGTATGATGAGACCGCAGTCAATGGCGTTGTGAACTACATCCTGCATAGATAACTTGGCGGTCTTCTTCCACATGGAAAGAAACGCATCACCGGAAAACTTCAGTACGTCTCCATTGTGTGTCAATATCTCCTGAACCATGGCTCCAATGTAAGAGTTCAGTACTTTAGTCAGCCTTGATGGCCCACCACGCCCGGACGTCGTGTATCTTTCGCAAAGATCGGTAAATCCTTAAATTTCAATATAAGATTATATCAATACATTTTTTTAAGTTTCTTCTTATAATTCTTACGTAAAAACTATTTTGAGATAGATTTAGACCTTTATTTGGGGCGGGAAAATCATTAAATGACTTCGCCTGCTCTGGTTGGGGCAAAACGGAGAGTCAAATTCTGACAAACTAAAAACGACCCCATTTTTTCTCCTGCTCTGAGTCCAGGCTGCGGCATACTAGGTACTCTTGCACCCGCAACCCTGACATGATAATCTATCCTAACGTCTATCGTTGTTTCTTATTATATTTTACTAAATAAATACTCAGACATATACAAACCAGAAACATCACAGAACATGAGAGCAGTCTCATAACTTCTAATAGAATAATCGCAGTGTTTGTAAATGATCTCATCAGGGACCATGGACGCTATGATGCCCATGCGAGCCGCCTCTGTCATGGAGTTTACTGTATCTTTATAGCCCAGCCTACAAATAGTTTAAGTAGGTAACTAAATAAATAGAAACGTTTACTTACTTACACCTACCTATATTAATAGATGACTAAACTTCGGGTGAAAACTGTTTTATTAATTACCTAGTCTTAGCATTTCATGGATATTCCTATGTGATAAACTGTATTACCTATACTTATTGGTAGCTGTCGCGTGTGCGTCTGTCGAGCAAGGGTCGTGCTAAATAATATTGGATTACCTATTTTCGAGTTTTAGAGAATTTCTCAGTACCTACTTAGATACCTATGGTACTGTTGCCAGAGACTTTGGACAGCGAAGTTGTAGTGTAAGGTACATAATTTTATATAATAATGCAATATGTGCCTCTTTCTTCTGGCAACTGAAAGGTATCGAATCCAGAGGACTTTTACTGAGCAAAATAGGTAGGTAGGTACTTAGGCACAATGAAAAGGGAACTAAGATAGGCACTATTTTCTCAAATAGGTATGCGTAGGTCTTGATTACGAAGGTGTCGAAATTGTCGAAACCTGGACATTGGTCTTTTACGTCCAGTGCGGGTTAGTATTCTAATTTAATGCAATAAATTCATTGGACATTGGTCTTTTACGTCCAGTGCGGGTTAGTATTCTAATTTAATGCAATAAATTCATTGGACATTGGTCTTTTACGTCCAGTGCGGGTTAGTATTCTAATTTAATGCAATAAATTCATTGGACATTGGTCTTTTACGTCCAGTGCGGGTTAGTATTCTAATTTAATGCAATAAATTCATTGGACATTGGTCTTTTACGTCCAGTGCGGGTTAGTATTCTAATTTAATGCAATAAATTCATTGGACATTGGTCTTTTACGTCCAGTGCGGGTTAGTATTCTAATTTAATGCAATAAATTCATTGGACATTGGTCTTTTACGTCCAGTGCGGGTTAGTATTCTAATTTAATGCAATAAATTCATTGGACATTGGTCTTTTACGTCCAGTGCGGGTTAGTATTCTAATTTAATGCAATAAATTCATTGGACATTGGTCTTTTACGTCCAGTGCGGGTTAGTATTCTAATTTAATGCAATAAATTCATACGTAGCTTGTTTCTGCATGCTCTGTCTCCTTCGTCTCGCTCTCGGAGTCTCTATCTGAATAGGCACGTCGTTCACTATAGACTGCCGATGGTGAATGCGTTTCATAGCCATCAGATACTCATCGTAATTCGTCTCGCTCGGTCTATTGTGAAGACTTTTATGAGCGCTTAACATGGACCCCGTATAAAACAGACCTGAGTACACAAAATAAATAACGTATATAGTTTTGTATTTTTACATCCCTCGTAGGTTTTGAGTTGTCATCATCATAAACAACTACTGAAACACAAAGGGGTTTTTTATTTTTGATTTTACGAAAATCTCAGGAACAAGAGAAGGTGGAAAACATCGATCACTAATAATTAGTGATCGATGGTAGAAAAAGATAAATGTTTGCTTTGTCCTTTATTTCAAAGGGCAAAATTACATATCACACAAAATTATTGTAGGTACACTAGCATGGGTACACTTAGCTATTACGAAAGCAATGGCCTTTTGCTAGGTATAAGATCAATAATATCGTATTGTACGTAGGTACCTACTTGTTGAAGGTTTGTCATTTTCCTTATCCATTTTTGATGAGAATAAAACAATAATCGTGAAGCGTTTCACATAATTTTTCACAGAATTTCGATGTCTGCAAGAACTGTCACAGTGTACGTAGGTAACTATACTCATAGATTATAGTAATATACTAGAGACTATACTATACTCTTTGATGCTTTGATGGCAGATGATCTTAAAAACGATGACTTTGTAACGGTGTAACCAAACGAAAACTGACCATACCGAACTAAAAAAATACCAACCAATAATCCCCTATATTTAGGTACCTAGGTATTATCTTTGATTATAAGTGGTACTGGCAGCGTCGATTACTTACCATCAGGTAAAATACGCAACTTATCGGATACCAAGGTATTGTAATAGCTCAGTGAAGGTATCTACAGCTAATAGAACAATGCAGTCGTCGTCGAACATTCGTCTGACATACTAGATAGGCCACATGTAGGTGCGACTTCCCAACGGATCGGTTATAAGTTCAGAACTTGATTGCTTTGTCAGTGTTACAACGAAATTTCTTCTAATAGGTTAGCAATGCCCCCGTGACACCCTGTTCTGCTGTAGATGTAAAAAAAAATTACAAAATAAAAAAACCGCCTTCAAAAAAAGTCAAGCAATAAAAGTTCCTACACTAAAAAGTAAAAAATAACAATTTGAATTACTGTAAAAAAACTTAATTTATAGGTAAACTTATTTGACATTAATATTTAGCAAATATTCAAAATTTATTACTTATTTTTGGAGTCGGTGCCAGCATTTTGATGTTGAAACTTAATGTTAGTTAGGTTTTTAATATCCGGTGCCATTTTTCGTACATAATGCTTAAACATTTTCAATGTACTTAAAATGTTTTTGTAAGTACATATTTTTTATTTAAAAAAATGTGCAAATCGGACATTTTTTGTAGAGAAGTCTAATCTGTATTTATGTCTTAATTAATATACCTATATTTGAGTATGCAAATAGGTATTAAGTAGTTTTATAATTAAGTAAGAGGTAGTTTTTCAAGGGATTGTTGCCCATTTGTATTTCCTTGCATGGGCTGGCACCGACTCCAAAAATAAGTAATAAATTTTGAATATTTGCAAAATATTAATGTCAAATAAGTTTACCTATAAATTAAGTTTTTTTACAGTAATTCAAATTGTTGTTTTTTACTTTTTAGTGTAGGAACTTTTATTGCTTGACTTTTTTTGAAGGCGGTTTTTTTATTTTGTAAAATTTTTTTTTATTTGTAGCCGTTTAGTGTTTTTTTTTTTTTTTATTATAATGTGTTCTGGCAAAGAAGTCAATATCGTTCCTACATTTCTTTTGAAAAAGTTACCAATGTCATACTTATACGTAGAAATACATATCATAGTACATTGTTACTGTGTAATCGTTTTGATCTCGAGGAGAGATGATATGATGCATGAGATACTTATGACTTATAGTTAAAATAAAATAATAATCTTATCATAAATTCATATTAGTTCTCGCCAAATAACAAAAAATTAGATATTTTCATCAACAGACAGATAAAGTTCAAAGATACCAAATGCAATCTAATTTAGTAGCTATGATTAAATACATTCGTACATAGAAAAAAGACCGATGCAATTATTGTTTTGTATCAATTGTAACCCATTAAATGAAGAATACTATTTTGTTATTACTAAGAACATTCATATATAGACAAGTTGGTAAAAATATAAAAGACCATCGCTATTGTAAATATACATTTATGACTCATTCAATGTATGAACCTTTTTTAAGTAAGTATTATCTACATATCGCTCATTTGGTGCAACAATGGCGTAATTACACTTTTACAATTTTTAAAGGAGAGCCGATTAAAGATTTGTATACGATGCATGGCATTTTGGGGAGACTCATTATAATCCGAATCATTTTAAAAGTAAGTTTGATTTGTGTTGTTTCTATTAGAGCTCCAATGGTTTCCGTGCATTATGCATTACCTAAATTATAGGCATAAATAAAATGACGTGTATGTAAATACGTCACTGTTTCTTCAGAATTAAATTTAATAAATATTGCATGGGCTATAGGATTTTACATTTGTGACAAAATAAAACTAAATAGATTAATAAATCAACGTCAATATTTATTTAAGTATGTTTAAAATCAGTTCAAAATTTAGGTAGGTAATTATTCTACTCTACCAGGTACTTATTGAAACATTTAAAACAGGTAACACCTTAAAAAACTAAATTCTTAGTCATTAAAATCACAATGTGTAGGACGTAATGGCACAAAAATCACAGCTTAATTGCTTATTATATTTGGAACTACAATGACATATTTACACAATTATGTCTTTGTTTCTCCAAAAAATATCATATTCAATGTCATAATTTCCTTTACGACGTTGTAGCTCCCAAACAAAAACACACTCAGCGGGGCGCCCCGCGCAACTGGCCGTTCGGACGTTGTTGCATCAGAAATGGCGCCATTTCGTTCAATTCGACAACGACACTCGCGCCGTCTCGCGGCAAATCCCCCAAAAAACATTTCGGTCGATGTTTCTCCGGGTGTAAATAGACTTTTCGAACATATTGACATAATAACTTTAATTTACAAAAAAATGTAATTCCGACGTTGTTGCACCAAATGAGCGATATGTGCACACAAAAGAAACACAATTATTGTTTTGTACGACGCAATTATTGTTTTGTAACCCATTTAAAACGACTGTTTTGTTAAAAATGCCAATTAATTCTCTTAGCCTATTACCAGGAAAACGATAAGAACACAATGACGCATTTCACCACTAATGTGTAAACGCAGTCCACGTGGACTAATGCAAAATAGCCAATACTAGGCCAAACTCCGCCCCCAAAGGTGTGCGGTCCCGCTCTAGAACCTTTCGGCCCCATCGGCCATCTGTTCTACGAGCAATGTGCCGTGCCCACTGTCACTTAAGTTTGGTGACGCTGGTTCTTCTGCGGATTTCTTCATTTCTGATTCGAACATGCACGGAAACTATGAGCATAGCCCTTTCCATTGCTCTTGACAGCTCTAATAAGCTTACACAATACTAGGCCCCATGCCAACCTTCCAGCTTCATCATCACATCAGTTCAATAGTACCTTACAGCCAAAGTGCATCTTATAACAATTCTAACGAGCCCAAACACGGCTAGGATATATTAATTAGGTACGCAGTTCCTTCCAGCTCCATAATCATCATTAAATCAGTTCGATGATAACATTTCCAACATAATTATTTAAGATCATTGGTTTACAGTGCATTTTCATAGTTGCTGAACTACCTTGATTGTGATATCTATGCGAGTGTCAAGTTTCATCATCCATTTCTGATCTTCTTCACCAGTTCCACCTCATCAAACATTACTTTTTGACTGTAAATGCTTGAGTGCTCTATGAAAATATTAAAATTACTATATAGTTGCCTATAATATTTGAGGAGTTCCCTCGATTTCTCATGGATCCCATCATCAAAACTTGATTTTGAAAAGAATGGGACCAATCTGGAAGCATATCCTTTCAATCATAAAAAAAAATTTGCAAATCCGTCCATAAACGACGGAGTTCTGAGGTAACAAACATAAAAAAAAAAAATAAAAAAAAAAAAAAAAAAATACAATCGAATTGAGAACCTCCTCCTTTTTTTGAAGTCGGTTAAAAACAGAGTAAGTACCTACGTAGATATACTTTATTTTGTAATCTGTGGTAGATACAGAGACAGTTCGCTATCAATGCATGACCAGTGTGGTAGAGCCACGCTTCGGCAGGGCAGGAATGGGCTAACTCGACCAGATACCACAAAAAACTGGCGTAAAGCAACACTACTAACGTACCTACCTACGTTGTTTCGCCGTATAAGTTCTTAAACGAAGGCCCAACCCTCTCCCTCCCGATCCTTTTATCCCTATAATAAACTACATGCCGGCGAAACCTTTGGTAGGTACTATTATGAATGTCTATGGGTGGCGCTGATTGCTTACCATGAGATAATCAGTCAGCTCGTTTACAGACAAAAATCTCCAAACGGCCCTTTTTTGTCAGGAGAAAATCATCAAACGACTTCTTAGCTTAGGGTGACGCGAGTCTTCAACTTACTGATGGGACCCCGCCTCCCCCTTTCGTTCTTCTGCTTCCGCTCTAGGCCAAGGCCGCGTTGCGCTTACCCCGCAGCCCTAGCTAAGTCAGCATTTCTGCCGTTAGTAAGGTAACAACCTAGGTATCTCTTACACTCTTACTGAAATTTTAACAGGTGTAGGTAGTTCCTAACTTATATGAAGCTACATCTTAGTTACATATCGGTGTCGTTATGTATTTATATTACAGTTTTATCAGTCTTCATTGATCTGAATTGGCCTCGAATGCAGTGTTTGTGTTAGGTTTTAAATTACCTTCTTATCCCCACATTTTTAATACGAATACGAGGGTAGGATTATTATAAAGATAATTAGGATCAGTAAATAAACAGACTTAGGTAGTTGAAAATAAACGTTTATTGAATCAAAGCTACAGTAAACAAGTAATTACCCGTTATGACCGACATTGCTATTGCTCGCGAACTTATCTTCGTGTCGTTGACCTTAGGACCTATAAATAAAAACCAAACGGCGCTAACGGTTTGGAAAGTAAACACTCAATAATGCTTATTTAGAGCATATTATTATGGTGCAGTCTTATTAGTTGAGACTTCATTTGTATGACGTAGGTACTAAGGAATGTTAATTTCAATCATGATTCATTCATTAGGTAAACAGCCGCTCTCCATAAGAGCTCTTTTCCAATTTTGCTTTTAGATAAGCATTTTTTTTCATCCTAAAGAAGCTGAATTAGTATATTTCTTACTAAATTAAATATTTAAATTATGTATTGAAAAGAATAAAGCATCCATTAAATCGCTTGATAAAAATCTAAGTATTCGTATTTTGCTTACCGTCCTCACAATAAAATACTTACTCAGTAAATGAAAATAGTACCTGTCTTGCTTCCAGGCTCCAAATAGTTGTGTGCCACATAGCTCATATTTACTTACCTATATTATACCTACCAATTAAAATGTATGTGGAATTTCACTGCTTGTGTTCAGATAAGCGAGACAAGACAAGGTTCAACATTACAGATACCTATGGTATAAATAAATCAATATATTCCACTATGAAAAACTGTATTTTATATATTAGTTTAAATGAGTTTTTAAACATTACATTACACCTTTAAGCGATGCACACTTACCAAAATTGAGTCTCCTGGAGTGGGATGCAAGCAATAGGCTTGGCCAGGTCCAGGCCAAGTACCAGACAGAGAGTTAATATTGTTTTTTTGGTCTTGTCTTATCTTACTCTTTCTAAGAAGCTTATGGAAATATGTGAATAAGTATAATGAGGGATCTAAAATGTAGTTAAGAAGTATGTATTCATGTAATTAGAGACACACAAGTATATTTAAATGGACCACAATGTTTATGATGGAAGTGTAATATATCTCCAACCAGTTCAAACATTTTTCAATAAAAAATATTTTATTATTCTTGGATTATTTATGAAGTATGTTAATTATGAGTAAGTTATTTCAAATTACTATTGTTTTGTTGGTGGCAGAAATTACTCAGTATTAATAGCAATTATCTATTATCTCGAAAAAATTATTGTATGAGATAAAAGTAATTCATTGTTACCAGAACATCAAAACTATTTTGAGAATATCCTACTTAAAAGTATATGACTACCTATTGAATAAATGACCAGATGACAAAAGTTATTGTGGGATGAATTAAAAACCTATTATAGAGAAACTAAATAATTATGATCCACTTAAACATACATTTAAAAAAATGTCTATAAAATGACTCAATTAAGACTTGGTAATGTGAATAACTAAGAATTAAGATTTAAAACCAAAATAATAGTGAAATTACTAAATGACATGATTGAGAATGGGTACAATTTGGTAATTGAATTACCTATCACTCACTCTTAGTGCCTAAAGGTTTTGTCTTTATGAAAGTATTTATGATGGCTACATTAGCATGACTAGAACTAGTTAATATCACATTTAGCAGGGAGGTTTCAAGCAAAGGGAATGTGTCCATACCCAGGAAATACTTACCAAACAATTTATAATTATTGTTGCATACCTAACTGTTCACATTATTCCTGAACACAATTTTAAGACATATCACTGAATAACTGCTCTCTGAGGGACCACTATATCTACCTACACTCATTGTCATAGTTTAGTCTATTTAGACCACAACACAAACACTAGGCGGCTTCACTGAATTATATAAGGTTGAAGCATTTTCACTTGGTTACTGAACAGTGACATTCAAGCCATGGTTTTCACTCAAGTGATCAGTTTATCACTGAGGGCACATTTCAATATCACATACTACAATCACTAATTCAACAACTGCACTTGCCTGAGCACAACTCACAAGGTTTAAAAAAACTACATCATAAGATGAAATATTCTATTTGCAAGTTCACACACTTACACTACACATCACCTAACATACACTGAATAAAGAATACACTATAACTTTTCCATAATAATATACACTTAATGTTCAAAATGAATATTTGCTAATTCTAGCAAAACTATAGTTTATCTACATTTATTAGCAATAACAACATTATTGCTGTCACTACAAGGCTAACACAGCACTTGCACAAGTAATGTGAAACTCACAAATTTTGATTAACAAACACCTCACATCACTACACATCACAAGTATAATACATATTGTTAAATATGAACATAGAAGACAAGTTTTTTTAAAAAGTACTTATGCTAGTTATGTAAACTCAATAAGTGTAAATCTATTAGAGTTCATATTAGGTATTAGTGTCACCCATCACCACCATTGTTACTGATCTCCCATTGACCTCATAGGTCAGGTTGCCACCTGCCCAGTTTGGGAGCTCAGAAGTTCATACTAGGCTGACCCACCCCTCACCACCACTATTACCAAATGGTCTTCCTTCAAACTTTCCTCAGTGAGGTTGTGACAAGTCCTCTTGAGAAGTTCAGTAGAGAATTCACAAGGTGGGAATGAATACAACACACCTGTTGCCTCTGTCTCTTTGTTAAGCAGGGAAATCACACCTGCTGCTTCTTTCTGTTTTAAGTAAGAGACCAAATTCCTCATAGGTCTAGTCTGAATACTTGCATCTTCATTTGTTACAGAAGCTGTAGACCCTGCCACTCCCAAGAATATAGCATGAGAACTGGAGGTTGCAATGCGTTTCTGTACATCATCTAGTTTTGGTTGATCCAAACGTAATCTTTGTGTAATTCTTAGCTGATTTTTGCCATCTTCATCTTTCATCAGACTATCAATTATTTCAGAATCACCATCAGTCAAGTGGAACTTAGTAGGGAATAAGGAATTCTTTAAGATCAGTGCACCATTCCAAATTGTAGTGGCTTTGCGTACAACTTCTGGTAAAGTACGAGCTGATGCTAACATTCCACCACTACGCCGCGGGGATCCATCGGAGTCACTGTCGGGCGACCGACGCCGTGGCGTACGTGATCGCGAGCGATCCACGCCCGGTTCCCGGGAACCGGAACGTCGCACACGACCTTCATATTCTGCATCAGCTGGTGCACGCCTCCACTCTTCTTCGCGATAATCCCCGGAACCATGATAAACTCCTCGATACATTCCGCGTCCTCGACCTCGATGCCCGCCTCTGCCTCTATAGCCAGGGGTTCCATAAGCATAACCTTCTTCCCATCCTTCATATCCTTCATAACCTTCTACAGGTCTACCATCCTCACCAACAGGAGGTGCATAAGGTTTTGGTCTATATGGGCCCCCAGTGCCAACATCAGCGAAATCGATTCGCAAACGCCTTTCGGGACCACCAAGTGGAAAACCTCTCATCTCTTTCACTGCAGCCTGAGCTGCATCTATTGAATCATACAAAATATAGGCATGAGGTTCCCCTTTAGCATATTCAATTTTTTTGATAGCTCCAAATCTATCAAATTCTCTTTCCAATTGAGCAACAGATGTCCAGGGACCTAGTCCACCCACCCACACACGTGTTGTGGGAGTTGCCTTGCCATATCCTATTTTACATTGGAATTTGCCAATATACTGGCCAGAAAGTTCTACCTTAGCCCTGTGGGCCATGTCTAAAGTCTGGTAGCGAACAAATGCAAAAGCATTGCCAGTACCCGGTGGAGGACGTTTTATATCAATATCCTCTACTATACCATAGCGTCCAAATATGCGTCTTAGTTCTTCATCTGAAATGTTTATCTCCAAGTTACCAGCAAAGAGTGTTCTAGTTGCCAATGGATCATCTTCTGGCTGGACATGGTGCAAGTAATTAGGAAATTTGTCTTTTTTATTCTCAATTTTCTCAAAGGGTGGGTGGTGGGGGCGGGGCATATACGGGCGAGGCATGTAATGAGGGTGTGGTGGATGGTGCATAGGTGGCCTGTGGTGCATTGGGGGACCATGAGGCCCAGCCATAGGATACTCATGCATAGGAGGTCGAAAATCTCTGTGATGGGGAGGGACAGTTGGAGGTATACCATAAGCCCTGTCATCTGGAGGTGGTCTACGTCTCTCAGGCACTGGGGACCAAGCATAGGAATAAGGTCGCTCATAATCAGGAGGGGTTATGCTTCTTGGTCGGCTTCTATATTCAGCGCGAACCGGTTCATAGACAGGGTCAACAATAGCCACTTTATCATATAAAATAATCCTTGGCTTGGCATGTTTAGCATCTCTAGCATCTTCCGCACTGCGAAAACACACGTAGGCAACTCTCTCATCTAGCTCGTGGGAAATTTTGATGCTAAAGTCTCCAAATTTCTTATATTCTCTGTAAAGAGTATCTTTAACGATTTCATCCGAAGCTTTTGGGTGTAGTGCACTGACACATAAAACTTTGTAATAAGGACGAACAGAGTCCTCTCTGACGTCACGGGATCTTACATAGTCATCGCGATGAGGCGACACGTAACGCCCCCGGGGGCTCGGCGAGCGGACCCGACGGCGTACCCGTTCAGGAGTGACGCGCTCATCGGAGCTGTCGTCATACCTGCCTATACTACTGCGTGTTCTCTTCGATCGCGGCATACTATCCCTTGATGAACTCCTCTTCATGTTACGAATTTTCACCGTTATTCGATCTCTATCTCTATCGCTACGCGGTAATCCAATCATGAAAGCTCAATTCGACGAACCACTATCTGAAATGCACAACATTACACGTCACTTCAAAATGTCGCTTTGTTCCAGAAGATAAATCACTGCAACGCACAATAGGGTTTTAGTCTTACCACAACGAAATTAGCGACTTGTCTCACAGTTCACTGTAAACTGCACTCTGCACAAAATATAGTCAATAATCACAGTTTTTAATCATTTATCTAAACACAAAAAGTAACAAAAATTTCGACGACTAAGCCAGTTACGCATCGCGCGACGAAATATGAATGAAGGATTGATTCACAATATGGCTGCCGAATCTTGTGACGACGCTTCCACCATTATTGGTTGCCGCCTCATTTTCAGTGTTACCAACTTATAGATATAGCTGTCCCCAAAACTGAACACGAAACTTAAAAATTCTTCCTCTATTTAAAATATTAAACAGCCGTCATGTTTGGCTATTTGCTGGTATATATAGATACATATAATACACACCGTGAAACTCATAATAATTTGGCCAAAACTCTTTCAAGGATACATGTCACTTAAAATGTAAGTACGTAGTCTTCAGAATGACAAGAAAATATGTATTTATGCTAGCTCCAGGGATAGTGCCTAAATTAGGAGGCTTTGTCATTCCTATCAAAAATAATGAAAGCATTACGTATAATTCCAATCTCTTGCTGTTTTATTCATTGAGTTCCCTACCTACTTCCCTAATTTCATCAAATCAATGTTACAAAAATGTGGAATACTTTTCTGTGACTTTGGATACTAGGTATTCTAGAAAAACCTGTTTTAGTAAGAGAACGCTCCAAAATTTGGAGAATATAATATATAGAATTTATTTGAAATAGTTTGAATAAATAAACGATATTTTTTTAATTTCTTAAATAACCTCATTGAGCGACTGCTACGCATGGGACGATGCGACGACGATTGTATTGCTTCATCAGAAAATGAACAATCTGTCAAATAATAAGAAAGTTGATTTGGTATTTATTTTGGTCTTTAATTGACCTTAAAAAAGAATATTTTGAATTAGTACTACTAACTATTTTATTATTCTATAAGAAATAAGTTACGGAAGAAAGCGTCAATTTCCACATAAAACTAAATCGAGCCAGGTCAAGGCAATACGGTAGAAGAGCGTAGTAACATTTTTAATTAATTCGTATTTATTCATACACAGTTCAAGGTTCATACATATTGACGGCTGACGGACGGCACAAAAACGTAAACATAATACATAGTGCCTACAATATCATATTATCCGAGTAATAACAATGAACGGTATCATTCTGATAATGTAAATAAGTCAGATAAAGAAATATAAAGTTTTATTACTGTAGATATCCTCCACTTTGTCCAAGTGAAACCACCAACGAGTCAGGATGGACGTAATAATAAAAGTAAATAACCAAAGCAGTGGGAGAGACAAATTAGCAAGGTTTGTAGCTGTTGTTTAGTTATAGTAGACATAAAAAGTATTAAATAAATGACAAGAAAACTAGTTCCCTATTCATTTTCCATGAATAGGGAACTATTCATTTTTCATGAATAGGGAACTAGTGGATAGGGATATAAGAAATAGTTGTAAATAAAAGTAAAAGGTGGAGTATATACCTGCTGAACAAGGGGCTAAGTCATTTGATACATACAAATGAAAAACACATTTAATTAGTATTGCGGTACCTATTCATTCACTATATTCTTCCCTCATTTTATTTACCCTGTCTTACCATTACTGAGTATCCAACTGGGGTGGCAGGTGCAAAGGCAAAAATGAACTGTGTCCCCAACCTGGAGCTAGACAAATAGGGTGGATTCTAGGCAGTTAGAGTTTGACACTCCTTTTAATCCCACCCAGGGTGAAAAAAGTCATTTGATGATTTTCCCGATTCAAAAATAAACACCATGTACCAAATTTTATATAATATTTTCAATTCCTTTTCAGGCTTATTCAGTACACAAGCCGTCTTGTCTGGCATCAACTAGAAATCAGGAATGCTAACAAATACTCTGTTGACAGAATAAAAAATCTTGAACTAACATTTAGTTCGTTCAGAAAAAGTAAGTACACCTAATTTCAAAATTTATATTAATTGCTGTGAATTTATGGTACAGACAAAAACTTATTTTGTATATAGGATTTACTATGTGATGCAGCAATTCAGTCAATATATTTTGTTTTTTTTAAGTCATTATGTACTTTAATAATACTATCAAATTTAATGCAGCATGTGGTAATTATTATACTATTAGATGACTACTAGTCAGGAATTACTATTATTAAATAGTAAAAAATATTTAGGTAGTTAAATGATGAAAAGCAACCAATCATAACTAATAATAAAATATATTATTTTTGGAACTTAATGGTTTAGCTAACAAAAGTAACACAATATGTAAAAATTTAATAACATTTTTCTTTTCAGTTCTAAGGCTTGGGAGATGCATAGACATTTGTTACACTGCCTTAAACAGCATGCATATTGAAGACCCCATCTTGAGAGTTACATTGACTGTAAGCAAGTTGGCACATGCACTGTTCCTCTACTCCGACCATATAGTTTGGCTGACTAAAAGTGGATTCCTTAAAACAGACTCTGAAAAATGGAATAGAACAGCAAATAAATTCTGGCTTATTTCAATTATTGCGAACTTAGCCAGAGATTTCTATGAAATTGTCCACCTTATGGATTTACATCGGGCATCTTTCTTGAAGCCTTCTGAACTTCTGAATTCTTCTAGAAATCATGATTTGAATGGTAGCATTAAGTACATGTATATGTTGATGTCCTGCCATAAAGATGTATTTATTGATACTTTAAAGAATTCTTGTGACATGTTCATTCCACTCACTGCATTAGGTGTTACAAAATTAAGTCCAAGCACTGTAGGAGTACTTGGGGCTATTTCCTCATTGGCTGCACTAGTAACTATTGTAAAACCAATAACTAAACTAGTGCCTGCTTGAATTATGATGATTTGTTTTTGTGGTGCTGGGCTTATGTATCTAACTAAATTGTGATATTGCAAATGTATGTACTTGTAGACATATACTTTTAAAAAGTCAGTTCTTAATTTTAAAGGTAATGTTAAAAAATATTCAGAATATTTAGATTTTATCATCGGCATGAGTTTGTATCAAACTATTAAGTACCTACTTTCTGTAAAGTATTGTTGTAACTGGTATAAAAAACATTATATAGTAAAATAAATAAAAGTTGACTTTTATAATAGCTTTTTTTGTTTTTATAAATGATTGAAATAACAAAATAAGTCATAGAATTTTTTCAATTCAGAATGGTCCCGTCCTCTATTATACCTAATTCATAAATTAATCTTGCAACAAATCTGAATGTAACAGTCCTCGGTGTATTTTGTTATTACGTAAAAAAACTAAGAAGAAATTTTCGTCCGTATAGCAATTGTTTTGTACAAGAACCTCTGTACCTATCTAAGATATAGGGCAATCCATATTGTAATACGTAATTGCACATATAATAGTAAATAATTATTAACAAAATGAACTCATCAAAATTAAAATCTATTATTTTAATTTGAATTCGGTAATGGCAACCCAGAAAAAGGTTAACTGAACTGTCAAATATCAATCTGTCACTGTTGTCAGATTTGTATATGGTCCAGAGAGATTAATTGAATATTTTGAGTAATTTATGTGATAAAGAAACATAAAACACAATAATAATGGCCCGTAATGTTGCGGAGACAGCTAGAAAATTTTTACTACTGGGTCAGTGCGTACCTACAGTCAAACAAAACGCTGCTAAAATAAGGGTTAAGAGGTTAGAATTGGACGAGAACCTACTCATGGTTCGTATTCATTATTTAATTTTCTTAGATCGGTTTTAACAACTTTGATATACTTTTCACTAACTTCTATATTTTATAATTTCAGTATTTTCGAAAAGACGAATTTTACTATTGTCATGATCCCCAAAAAATCTGCAAAACTGGAGACATCGTTCTCATACAGTCCCTACCACAAAAACTTACAAAATTAATTACTCATGAAGTGAAAGAAGTTGTTTATCCATTTGGTGACATTACCGACCCTATCACAGGCAAAAAAGTGGCTAAAGAACAATACAGGGAGGACATGGCCAGACAAGCAGAGATTTATGGGAAATTAGATTCTGCCTTTGACTATGACAAGGCACCCCCTCGAGGCTGGCAAGATGGAAAGAAAGATTTCACCTCAAAACCTACTTACACAAAATTCCATGTATTTGATGAAAATGATCCTTATGCCATTTAAAATTGTATAATCTTGTATAGTGTAATTATTATTTAGCAATAAAATAACTAGTGTTAGTGAATCATTCTTATTTCATTCAAAATAATTTAAAATTTTACAAGGCCCTCTGAAGGACATCTTCCTACATCAATGACTTTATTAGTTTTTTAAACCTTTTGTCTATCAGAGCAGAAACACACAAACCATAAGGGATATTTTAACCAGCTAGTAATTATGGCTTCTCTGAACAGTCAAACTAATATTGCCAGTATGACACAATAGAAAATACATTGTGTCTTGCTTAGATCTATGTTACAGCAAACAAAATGTTAATCATTCACTTCAATATGTCAACAACAATACCACGTGGCCTCCTGCAAAGGTTCAATTACTACATGGATGGTTTGGTAGTTAGCCAACTGGCTGCCATGCAGCGTGTCGCAGGATTGATTTTTACACGGATCAACTCTGTATGATCCATAAATTGTTGTTCCTGGTCGGGGTGTGATGTGTATGTGAAATTGTATGTTTCTAAATGCACCCAAAATAGGAGAAATGCTAGTGTAGGATAACATAAAAAAAACATTGTCTGCCCACCGTGTAGGTGTGTGTGTACTGATCTGCCACTATGTGGCAGTTGGTTTTCATTCTAAGCAGCAATGTAACAAGATATTTGAAAATTAAACAGTGTATTCTAAAGAAAAGAGCATTAATTTTATTTTTAGCCATATTAGGCTCATAATTTTTAGATTGCTTGTAACGGTGGCATCAGTCCTGCGCCAAAAGTTCCTTCTCCAGCGCCGCGCCCATGAGGTTCCAAGAGCTATCATCGTCATCAGGTGGCTCATCATCTGAGGGCGGGGACTTTCGCGGTCTTTTGCGGGGTCTGGGTTCATCATCTGAAAGTAGAAATTAAAGTAGTGTTAGTAAAGATTATGGAGAACAGTCTTTCCTTTTAATTTTACATAGATTTATTTTACTCACCCATTTCTGAGTCATTTGTTGCCTCTTCTTGTTGTAATCTAAAAGTAAAACAAAATATTATTTAGTTATTAGTATTTTAGGATTTTTTGGAGTGAACTGTAGGAGGAAATTTTTATATTACCTTTCTTGTAAGCTGTCTTGCATGCTATTTTCTGCACTAGCTGATATCAATCTATCTTCAGGGGGATTCTCTTCATCATCAAGATCATCATCTCCTGGTTTTTCCTCATCAGAAGAACTTTCATCTGATTCATTGAATATGTCCTCTACCTGATAATGGAATATAAATATGAAGATTGTAGGTAAATTCAATATACAGTAATAGCTGTCCTTCTGAGAAATGCGTTAACATACGAACAACTGCTGAGACTGGACTATTAATTTTTAGACAGTAGCGAATGTACCTCTCTGTCCATGTCGGCAATATCATCGCTTGAGAATGACAGCAGCGGATTGATAGTATCCATAAACCGTCCGGATGGCGTGCGCTTGCGCATCGCGGCTACTGGAGCGGGAGCGGGGGGTGGGCTGCTGCAATGTGCCGGCGGTCGACGAGAACTGCTCTGTGAACAAGTGATTCATTTGTTCAAGTACCAATACGAAATCTATATAAGATGGAAATTAAATTTGATAAACTGAAATATATAGTAAAATCACAATTATTTTATGACTATTTTTACTAGTATATTTACATTTATAAATTACCTGTCCTCCTCTTTGTAAAGGGTATAGTCTTTCGTCAACTCGTTCCCATCGCTCAGCACAGCTCCACAGCCATTCTGGTGTCACTACATGTAATTTGTTCTTGCCTTCGCCCATACGCCTACTTGCATTCACTTTTGCAGTGCCTATCAACAATATTTATAGATGAGCATTCAGTACTAATCACAGTTATTAACAAAAATACTCAAGCCTACTAATTGTAAATGTGATTGTTAGTGAGAATGAATGGATGTACCATATATTCTCACTAACTGTTTTTTATTGTTTCACGCAAAAATGGCTGGACCAATTTGCTTTAAGTTTAGTATGTAGGTTGGTGATACCCTGAATTAACACAAAGGATACTTTTATTAAGGATTAGCAACTATCTACGTAACTCGCGGGCGAAAGGTAGAAAATAATATTTTACCTGCTCTTACTGCAACCAGATGCGTCGTCTTATCTGAATAATCTTGGGTAACTTCAGCTCCTAAACTTCTTGCTACTTGATACGCCCTTGAAGTCTCCAGACGTTGATGTGTCGGGACTAATCCACTAAAAACGAGACTTGTACCAGCTAACACTTCACTTTTTACTTCTGGGATTATTGATTTTAAATCAGGAATTTGATTCTTGCCCATCTTATCATAATAGTCATAAAAATGCCTGGAATAACAAGAAAAAAGAAATGTTATATTAAAATAGCCCCATTTGTTATGCGAGATAACTGCCAAGAAATAGGTGTTTTACTGATTCTTAGCAGGGTGTTATAGGATCTTAATTTTTCTGTGTGCTGCCACCCTGCCATTTGTTAAATGGACTCAGTTTAACACCGCTGAAGAAATCAGGTGTTAGATGCTACCTACTTTACAGGGATGATGGGCAGAAATTTGGCCACTAACATGTCTGATGAGCAATGATGCGACCTACGATGGATCACGCCTACCCATAAGCAACACCACCTATAAACTTGCTTAATTTGTTGTGTGTGTATAATCATTTTAAAAATAATGTTGTTACTTACTTATGTATTCTTTTAAGTATATCATCTAAATAGATCAAGTAATCATCTGGATCTTCAACTTCTATCTGTCCATCAGAGGTTTCCACCCATTTTGGTTCAACCTGTTCTTGTGCTATCCTCTCATCACTTTCTTGATCAGCCTCTTCACTTTCTTTCTCTTCTGAACTAGTACTCTTTACCTCTTTAGAAACAATTTTACCATTATCACTATCATCTTTATTTTCTTTCTTTTTTGATGTTTCATTTTGTTCAGGTTCAGCATCTAGAGTAGGCATTTGGTTTACCTGAGCCCCATTTTTACCACTTGCTAGTTTATCTTTTGGCTTTTCATCAACTGAAATATATAATTCAACTTTTAGTTACACTTTACCAATTTGTTATATGTATATAAATATATGTAACACCTGAATAAAATATCAAAAGTACCTGGTGGTGGAGGTGCATTAATATCTCCTGTTGATTGGAAGAAAGAGTATGGCCTAACGTGGATCAGATTGGTTGCATGTCGCCATACATCTTCACGGTCGTCAATAATACAAACCATATTATCACCACATGGGAATAATGCTCTGAAAAATTATTAATTATAGTAAGTTTCCAACTCTTAACTCTGAAGTATTTTATTTATATAGGTGGAATATTAATTGTCTACTCACTTTAAATTAGCAGCTTTTGTTCTAGCGTCAAAGCACTCATCTCTAGAAAGAATTCTATGAGAAAAATATTTTTTCTCAGGGTCAAGTAAATCAGCGATGGCATGTGCATATTGGCGAGCACCAAATGTACAGACATGCAGTTCATAATTCTTGGAAGCAGATTCTAAGAACTCTTTAGTACGTGGACGAAGGCGCGTGTGGCACCAGCGGCCAGGACATCCAGGACTGCGTAAAAAAAAGTGTAGGACACCCTGTAAATAAAATTAGTATTTAATCATTGCAATTTTTCGTCGTCTAGCACCTATAATTAGTTCGTAATTTCATACATACCTTCAAATTAGGTGGTATGTTGTCGTTGGTAGTATGAACTAGTGTTTGATCTAGATCCACCAGTAATACTAGCTTTCTATCCTTTAAAAGGCGGTCAGCATCTTCTCGGCCCAATTTTTGTGCCAATTCTTCTGACACCTGCACCGAACATAAAAATAGAATAAACTTATTTTAGTTTCTGCTTTTGATAATTAATATTTTTCGTTATATTTACATAAATAAAAATTAAATTATAAAATGTAGCCCTCGTATCTGTCCATCTTTTAAAGCTCAACAAAAGAAAGTCTTCAGAAGGACTTAGTATTTTGATATTTGGATTTATAGTGAAGTTCTAACTAAAATTCAAATTAGAACCTGTATCGAAAATCCAATAATAATAAAACTATATTTTACAAAATCTACTTTTTACTGAAAGATAGGATGTATGATTGTATGGTATATTAATATTTAAATAAGAACAAACAGAACATCATTTAAATCTGAACCCCAGTTCTGTTTTTACAAGTAGAATCAAATTGGCTTTAAGGCTTTTTTACCTAACCTACTAGACCTTATTATTTGTAATGTTTTCTTTCATTATCTTACCTTAAGTTCAGGTACAGAGTGCACCATGGGTACGACGGCGACGTCTCTGTTTGTCACCTCGTCTGTGCGAAGGTCGGCACCGCACTCCGCACACATCTCCTTCATCACAGTTGGATGGCGACATTCTTCTAACTCTGCTATAGCCACTCTGAAACATGTATAGGTTTTATCAAATAAATTAATGTACAAGGGCTAGTTTGTCACTAAGTGAATGATTACCTATAATTTCTGTGCCTAATTGAGAAGACACAAAACTTTGGCGAAAGATTTTTTCTTTCCGTATTGTTAAAATATTTACCCTAAAACGTTGAAACTGATAAAAATTGCTTTGAAAACCTTTTCTTTAATCCTTGTAAGAACGCAGCATAATAACGCTAACAGATAAATTAATATTCAAAATAAAATACTTTGTTATGTTTGTTTTGGAGGTTATATTTTAGGCGGGAAGTTTTACCTGCACTTATATTTACCGCGCAAACGTAATGCAACTGCACTTCAAAAATGAGTAATAATAATCATGTTTGTTGTCTCATAATATAAGTGTTTTGTGTAATAATTTTGTAAATAGTTTGATTAATATTATTTTATGCCGCATTTATAGTATGACGTCACTTACCCAGGCTCTGCAATGTCTCCTTCCTTCACCTTGATCGACGAGATAGTACCAGCGCGTACGGCTTTATATTTCTTCAGATCCGTGCCGTTGCCTGATGAATCGTTGTATAAAAATAATATTTGACCTTGTGACACAAAAACACCTTGTTTAACTTTCCACTTTACCACTTTCAAAGGTTTTTCTGATGGAACAAAAATAGGCATAGTTTTGTCGGCCATCTTGAACGGATATGGCGAGTTATTTGTAGAATGGCGATTTACTATTGGCCAACGCTGCTGTGTTTTGGCGGTTTATGTATTTCCACCAATCAGATTCTAACACTACTAAAATCAATACGCAAAAGAACATTGTTTCCGGAAATGGTGGCACTTGGCAAGCACTGTAGTGTAATGTCAAACAAGGAAACATTCTGAAACTTCTGAAAGTTGGTTACCAACATAAACTAGGTATATAAAAAACAAATAGTTACATTGAAGGACATTCTTGGGAAAATAACCAATACGGTCAAAATTCAACATTCCTATTCGCTTTTTGAGAGATCATTAATAATCCAAGCATCTTTCAATTTTGGAAGTTTCAACAATTAAAATAAATGAAACAATTTTAACCTAAGCTTTTGATAGAATAATAACTGGATTTTAATTTCTATTTTCTATTTTCCTATATTTCTATTTCTATTTTTTTCTATATTTTATATTTCCATTTTTTTCTATAAACATTTTATATTTCTATTTTCCTTTTAAGATTCCTACTTCGTTGTACAAAACCACAATCTTCTTTTCCGAACAAGCCTTTAATTAGTGGAAATCTGTGTTAAATTAACTGATAAAGTTACCAAAAATCTTAATTGTAAAAAATCTGCTCTTTTCATCACATGATTAAAAAGTTTTTTTTTATACTTTGGTAATGTTTCTATCAAAATACTTTATAATCTGTGGCACTGGAAGTCAAACGTCAAAAACCAATTTTCGCTGTGTATCTTCCCATGTAACGAGTTTTTGATAATTATTATTTTTCGTTTTATTTGGTTTGTGTAGAATTTAATGTAAATATTAAATCTTTACATTTGCAACATGATTGAGGAAAATATAACAGTGAGCGATAACTCAGATTTAGAGGATGGCGGAAATCCAGAACTTCGCGGATACTTGAGTAAATGGACAAATTACATTCACGGTTGGCAGGACAGGTTTATTGTTTTGAAGGATTCTACTTTATCGTACTACAAGAGTGAGTTGGAGAGTAATCTTGGATGCCGTGGTGCCTTATGTTTGAAGAAAGCCAAAGTCAAGGTGATTATGCATAGTTGTTTTATCGGCAAAGTCCAATAAAAAGATTAATTTGTCCTTGTTGCGTCTCGACTTTTTTTGTCGCTACGGCTAGCGCTTTTGAGCAAACAGACTTAGCATGTGATCTAATATTTAGATATTCGACCTTGGATATTTATTTTTCAGCCTCATGAATTTGATGACTGCAGATTTGATGTGTCAGTAAATGATTGTGTCTGGTACTTGAGAGCTACTAATCCTGAAGAAAAACAGCAGTGGATTGATGTTTTGGAATCATTCAAAGTGAGTATGATTCAATCAAATGTAATTATAAAAATATACTATGTTGGTGGTAGGTGGATGTTTCAGTTAGATATTTGATGTGTATATCTGTCTCACTCATACACTACTGATATGTCAATAACACTACTTGTTTTGAGTGCTTGCAATTTATGTTCATCCTCAAAACATAATAATGTACACTATTTCTAAATGTTATTCTTGAAGTTAGATAAGTGCTACTTTGACATTGTTAGTCCGAGACTCAATTACCATTATCTTAATTAAGTTGATTACCTTGAATCTCAATTGAAATGCAGAGATAATCGGGACACAAACTCATAAATGTTATTTAAATGTATATTTTAAAATGACAGAAATAGTATTTGTATATAAAAATTGAATATTTACAGTCAGTAACATTTTGAACATTATAGCTAGTATGTTAATATGTTTGTTTACATATAAAATGTCTTCTTATCAAATGTCCAAGTGCTAATAATATCACACTACATGTTCAAGCAATTATCATTATAATAATACACATTTTGTAATATTCTCACTCTATGTAAGAAGTAGGTGTGTGTATTTAAAAAATGAGTTTCATATTACTCATTGAACTCCTTACTTTGCTCAAAATCCTCAAGTTCAATAAAGTTGTTAAGTTCTATGACAGATAAAAAAAAACAGTCATTTTTTCATTTATCATGGATGATGGCATGTCACAAATATTTTTTTACACAACCTACTCAGTTTGCTTTTACTAAATGATAGATTGCCAAAAGAGTATGTAATATTCAGAATACTTTTGACATTGATAAACTTTATTGAAGTGAGATTACAGTATTATCTCGTGGAATTTATTGTTTTGTGATAATGTTAAAGATTCTGTTCTGGTAACTTTTTTGGCTTGCAAGAAAGTTTAGTATTTGTACCTATTTGTATTTATTTGGATGTCCAACAAAGATTACACCTTACATGCTAAAAGTAAAACAAGCATATACAAATTCTTGTGCATTCAGATATTAAATAATCAATTATTATGTAATATATGGAAGTGAGGTATACAATTTACAAGAAAAACATACTAAATTATCATTTGATAATTAGTTGTTTTTATGAGTTTATGCATATTCATGTGACATAATCATGGTTATATTGCCAGGGATTGGAGTAAGATAAAAACGAAAAATATTACCTAAATTCTAAAAACATAAAGTACAGATTAGCATAGTTTCATAGTATTTGTATCCATCAGTTTGGGGAATACATGTATTCTTATTGTTTACCTAACTTAGTTTACTAACAAAATCAATGATATTCAAATTACTGTCTAATACAAAACATTCAAGATTTATATGACTAATATACTAATTAATTTATACTTCACTGTTGTCAGCAAATGTTCTAGAAAATCCTTCCTGTGACAATGCAAACAAAGCTGTTATCTCTAACATTTGTAACACTTTTCAGATGACTCATTGTTAAGTATTGATCTTAACAATATATCACCTGATTTTAAATGCTCCTAACTATCAGTTTGTTAACTGATAACAACTGATAATATTCAATAAGTTATTTTATGACTGTACTGACTTCAATTGTTCTAAAAGAAATTGATTTTGTGATAACATTGCTAATGTTTGAATAGCTGGTACATTTCATTTTGTGGATAAGCATGGCATGACTAGATTGCACGAAAAATGAGCTTAGTTTTTGCCAGTTACAAACTAGCATGAATGTGTGTAGTATAATGCCGTCTTATCTGTTTAGGTGGACAATAATGTTAATAATAAAAACATAAACAACATCACAATAAGAATAGCAAGACAACCAACAGATCAAGTAAGTTATGAGCAGTCATATAAGTAAAGCATCAATACATTTATTACAAGTTTAAATCCTCAATAAACATGCAATTGAGTTCTAGTTATCTCCCCGCCCCCTCTTGTTTGTGTGAAGCCTGTGCAATGATAAGATAACACAAGGATTCTGCCTTTATCAATATAAAACCATTGACCTTGGATGAAATCCTTTTAAAGTGACATAAATGCCAACAAGTTACATGTACAATTTTGTAGTGTATGAGTGAGATAGATATAAGTCTCATGTTTTCTTGAAGTAAAGAAGATAATCCAGTTTTTAAAAGTATTTCAGTTTATAGATATAGATTATTAAATATTTTCTTTAGTTCATTATGTAAGATTTAATAATGCAGTGATCAACTGATGACTGTTCCCAGCTCTTAGAGTTGGTAGCTTGGTAGACAGACATCACAGACATTAGAACAATGTTTGAGTAGATAATAAATTTAGATTTAAATATTCAATGAAGTAAATAATGCCATGAGGGCTACATAAAAAAAAAGTATAAAATTTAAACTTAATTGGTTTTCTATTAATGTATTGAACCATCTAGTTAATGATTTGATTACAAACTACATGGTAATGTAATTTTAATGTTATTAAACTTCGGTTTCTCAGGTGGAATCAGGATATGGGACCAGCTCAGACAGCAGTTCAAATGGAGGAGGCTTGCGAAGACATGGATCTGTTACTTCCTTGCAGTCGACTGGCTCTCATGGTATTCAATTTTAAAATATTTCCTAATAGAATGTGTGTATGAGCATAAGATGGAAGATTGAAAAGTATCTAAAGAACAAAAAAACGAGTCGTGACCTGTGGCACATAGCACATGCCAATTCCAAATTTAAATTATCTGTGGTACTATTTGTTCCATATTTATATGTGGTAAATACTGGCCATTTTATCAGACACGACTACTCTTGTGCTAGACTGCACACATGGATGAGCACTATAATTTACTTATCTCCGTCGTTTAAAGACGACGTTGTGATTTACATACAATTATGAAAACACCGTCGTGACGTGCCTGTGTCGTGTAATTAATTCTACTTCATTTAGTAATTATTTATTATGAGTGATGAGAGATTATCAATGCAAATGTGGCTCCCTGTGTTCTTTTCTGATAAGTCTTGGTGTATAGATATGAAACGTATTTTTTTTCTTATAGGCAGCTATATGTCTACAATCTAGATATGTTCATGAAGGTGGATATCTAAGTTAGTTTCGGTATTTCTATTTTCGGTTAGGAAATGTCGATATCATAGAGTATTTTTTTTAATTGCTATTTTGCGCTTCCGTAGTGTGCTAGTTTGAAATTAAACTTTTTTCTCGTGGGTTGTGGGCACGTTTTCTAATATACAATTCTACAGACACATCACATCCAGAACCAGAATGAAAATTTGTAGATGACACAAAGAAATGGAATGGCTAATAAACCTTACATTTAGTTGGGAAAACAATCAATATTTGAAATTCTTCTGTTTCAAGCCACTACGCGCGCTGCAACGCTCTTTATGCAAATAAATAAGTCTCACTGTGACTTAAAACCAGTAGAGCCTTTCTCCATAGTGTCTCAGAGTAATTTGTTATTTTCTATAAATTTAAAATCTTATTATTCTTAATTTGATGTATTAGGTATTTATCTATGTTGGTAGGTGAACCTTCTTTTTCACAGATCGCTAAATAATAATGCAGTGAACCGTAGGATTATAAAATGTTTAATATTAAGTATAATGAACTTCAATTACTTAGTTATAAATAGAAACTTTTATTAGTGCCTTTAAACCTGTATCGGAGGAAAACAAAATAAAATCGACCTCCTTTTGAGGTTAATTTCAGTCAGTTTTAATGTTTTTTGGGCTTTGTTATTCTTTAGTTTAGTTGTAGTGAAAATCGTTTGTTTGTATTAAAAGTATAAATAAGTAATATGTTTCAATCGGTAAGTACTCAGAAAGGCAGATGTATAACGTCAGTAAATAATTGATAAAATGTCTTTATTTATGTTCATTGGTCACTCATTTATCTATTCTAGCTAATATTATAAAGCTGAAGAGCCTGTTTGTTTATTAGAACGCACTTATCTCGGGAACTGCTAGTTCGAAAATTCCTTTGGTGTTTAATAGACCATTCATTGAGGAAGGATTTAGGCTATAAAACATCACGCTGCGATCTGTAGCGGAAGCGGGTGAAACCGAGCGAGGGTAGCTAGTGTGTTATGTGTTTAAAAAATATGATAAATGAAATGGTAACTTAAATACTCCCCACAAATATTAATTTCCCGCTAAATTTAAATACCAATGAAAACTGAATTTTATTTAACCACGTTAAAGTTCAAATTAAGATATTTCCAAGTTAATTTAGCATCAAATTATATTTCCTATATTTTGAAACACGGAAAACATGTTCAGGAATAATTTTATTAGAATTGTAATTTGTAGGTAATAATAAATCGATTTTAATACATAACTACGTTTGACGTAAATGGCTATTATCAGTTCGAGAATTTTGCGAATTCCGGTCAATAATAAAATATGTCTGTCTGGTTTGTGTATTCAATATGTAGGTAATTTCAAATTATTAACACTATCTATATCTATTAACTTATTCGATAATGTATTCTAAAAATACATCCATGATATTAATAGCTTAATAATCAGCCCGATAGCGTTCACAGCTAGGTATAGGGATCAACAATAGTACTTCGATCATAAACTCTTCGTATTTTATAACTGTTAGTTACTCAAATTATCAAATATCATTGTTGTCAAGGTCCACTTCTTTTCTAAACATAAAATATTGTGTAATAACTACCATGGGATACAAAATTTATACTCATTTCTTAATCGTTTCGAATCTACACTTTGGAACGACGATTTTAGATTTTGGCTTCACTGACGAACAGACCGACAGACTTGATTTAATTTTGTCGTTCAAAAGTACCTATTTGTGGTTTAGTTGGAATAAATATTTTTTTCTTTGACTAAACTACTTATTTGAAAAAACTCGACTAATTTCAAGTCACGCCGGAACTCGTATTCGTAAGCTGTGTGCTCGACGTGGTGATGTTACGTAGCCCTTAACTAGTTACGTCTACCAAACTAACTAACAAGGGAGTTATTAAACAGACCTATATAATTTTGTCTCCAGGCCGTACCACTCGTCGTCTCGCCGAGAAGATCGCAGAACTGGACACATATAACGAGCTGCTTTCGAAGCAAGCCACCCAGCTGCAACAGTACTTCGACATGTGCGTTGCGGCTTACCCACAGATCAACGATGATGCCTCCGAAGCCATTGATGCTGTTAAATTGGCTGATGGTTTGTGTTTTATTTTCCCTTAGTTTCCGCCCGCGGGTTCCTTCCGCGTTGTATGTTGATAAAAACAGCCTATGTGTTAATCCAGGGTATCACTTATCTGTCTGCGGACAAGAGCCAATAGACCACCACAGACTGATATTCAGCCGGCGTTGCGTGGCAAGCGCAATGAGCCACCACTGCCTCGGCCCAGAGCAGGACAAGAAACAGGGGTGTTTTAAGAGTCTGACACTCCCTTCCGCCCCACCCTTAGTCTCTCTCTGTGGTCATTTGATGATTTTTCCCTCACAAAAAAGGGTATCGCCTATCTAAATACCAAATGTCAATCAAATTGATCCAGCCGTTTTTGTGTGAGAGAGTAACAAACACACATCCCCACATTCTCACAAACTTTCACATTTATAATTAGTAGGATTCGTTTACGGAATGAGGGGCAAATGAGCTAGCGGATTATTTAATGTTAGGTGATCAGTATCAAGTAGCTAAAGTGGGATGGAGGCTTTTTGAAATAAGTATATACGCTCTTTTTTTTTCAAGCCATCAACGGATTAAATTTTTTGTGCAATAATTCTGTCTCAGTACAAAACTCATCAAAATTGGATCAGCAGTTTTCAGGTAGAAGTGTAACAAACTGTTTGTTGAGTATTTATGATACTTGTGATTGAAATTCTTCTTCTGTTATCACACTAAAATCAATTAAAGTGACATATAAACTATAGATACCTAATACAATAGATTACGACAAAAATAAACTAAGTAATTTTATTATAACACAGCAACACCATATTTAAAAAGGCTAGTTTCAATTTGAAACTGTAATATTGTATCATTTTAAATTAAAACCTCTTTAATTTCCGCATTATGTAGGTATCAGAAATTTAATCACACATATCATTTATAAACGAACGCACAGACATGTGTTCTATCACATTCCTCATAATAAATTAATATCATCTGTCACAGATCTGTGTAGTTTTAAATTAATGTACAGTTTTACACCATATTATATGACATCATTTTTATACCTAAGTCTATATACAAGGTCATTCTAGATTGTAGTAATGGTATATTAATTGAATTGAACCTATGTCTGTTTGTTAATTGGCTTCTTGTGTTGTCATTTTCGTCTGATATCTGTCTTTTAGTGTCTATACGTGTCATGTTTTAAAATAATGTGGCAATGTAGGTGTACATGAGAAATACTGGTCTAGAAGTTAATGAAAAAGTTTCTTTGAAAAGGTAAAAAGATTTTTTTTTGTTATGGGTGCATTTTTGAACATAGCAAAGCGTTGGTAACTCCTCGTTTGTGAGTGTATCCATCGGAGTTTATTTGCTTACACATATCATGGAACTATGTTCATACGTATATAATTTGATATAATTGTTTCGTCTCTGTAGAATCTGTAGCTCAGTCACATTGCTAACTGTTCGGTCTAAAAGTATTTCTAATATCTGAAAAGTAATTAATGGTAATTGGCAAGCTTACAACAGATTTTTACCCTATTGATAGTAAAAATAGTATGAAAAGTGATTGATTGTTGATGATTTTTGTTTTCGGAAACGATGACGTATGATTTTCACCTCTTTAGATATTAACTGTATAAGTTTGAAAATTTATTTGGTAAGCAGGTACGAAAATATGGTTGATTCAGTACTTAACCATTATTTGGCTACTGATTCGACTAATGGTTTTTAAAAAGGCCAAATATGTATGTCATGTATGATACCCCCTAAACTTTACAAATGATTTGAGTTTGCAAACATTTGCTACTGTCTATGTATGTTATTAAAATAAAGGAATGTTCCTTTATTTCAATAACTGTGCAGTCTTTACTATATTAGTATGAGCATACTTTTGCCATGACTGTAAAGAAAAAACAATTAAGTGACTAATCTTGTGGTATGGTGACTAAAAAACTGACACATATACTACTTATTATATATGTACCTATACTCTATTGATCAAGTTTAGCATTCAGTAAATAGGTTATGATATGGGGCAGTCCCGTTTCATATAAGTCGGGTAGACTCCAGTTTGAATGCACTATGAGATTACCTAATTACATAGTGCATTTAGTAGGAGATTGTAAGTTAACAGACTTGAAATGATTTATATTAGTGACGCCTTCATAAAATACCCGATTATAATGTTCAAAAGTGTAAACTATAAAACATAATATAGGTGGTATTTTGTTTATAATTGTAATCTTATTCGTCAGGTAACGACCTAAGCTCGCACGTGGGCGAGGTGCGAGCAACAAGTGCTTCATTCCGGGCAACATGTGGCGCCACTATCGCTACACTGCAACACTGCGCTGAACTGCTCCGGCGCAGGGAAAAACAAGCCCGACAGGCTGAAGAGCTGTACATGTAAGTTTATAATAAACTAGCGGCCCACCCCCGCTTCGCACGGGTCGAATTATCTCGCTAACAGTAAAAGGGTCCTTTTTCCCCAATTTTCTGCTGTACTTTTCTTATATTTTTTTTCATAAGAACCTTCTCCTAACAATAATAAATACAAAACAAAAGGATTTGGCAAAATTTGGTCCAGCCGTTTTTGAGTTAGGCGCTTACCAACACATTTTGCTATCCATTTTTATATATAAAGATATGTAGAGGAAATAATTCCTCAATTTTTAAAATACTACTCTATAGTGAGCTTGAGGATACATTTTGCAATTTTACCGCTGAACGCGAGTCGTGTCCAATTAGTCGAAATGGCCATTAAAAGAGGCTGGTATAATGATGATGACGATGTTAGACCTAAAAAATCTAAATAGAAAAACACGGGATTGCGAGTCAAGCACAATAAAATAATGCACCGTGGCTTCTAAGGGGTTTAAAGGGGGTTTTAAGTCAGTAAGAGTGACACTCCCTCGCCCCACTTAGAGAAGGCATACGATGATTTAGCGCTCTCATAAAATAAAATAAAACTCACAAAGTGCAAAAATCACTCTTATTGCTGCGGAGTAAGACTTATGATTGTTTGGATCTCGCATAATTAGAATTTCGGAACCGAATATTTATTTACATATTTATCCCATATAACCCATGGACCAGTACCAGTAATTTAAAATATTGATACTACTTAGTTACTTCAAATGCAATGTTGAGCCTCAGATGCTACTTAGTTCTAACTGTATGTACCAGATGGCAGCACTGATAAGATTTCTGTTATTTCGCACAGTCAGGTAGCATACTCTAATGGGTCAATTTTTTTATTGGATTTTGGAAACAAAGCAGAAAATCGATTAAACCCATTTGACAAAAAGGCCGACCAGCCAGTAACTACATGTATCTATAGTAATTATTTTAAATTGTTTCTTTCCTTCAGGGCTTTGAAGAATCAGCTGGCAGAAGCAAGGTTGGCTTCGAAACCAGGGCCAGACCATGAGGTGAGTCATAGATATTAATTTGCTTGCTCTATGACGCGTTATTATTTATTAATTACTCATCTAAATTCTTATCAAACACTTCGTTACTCTCGGATTAGTCGGATAAGTGATTCATCACGTGAAAATACTGTAAATATTAGACACACATGCAAAAAGTTTCTAAAGCTGTATTGCACCAAAAATCAACCTCGTTATTTTTAAGACCTATTTTTGAATGTACATGCAACAAACTCTTGTTGCATATTTAACACGAATTTTGCATAATCTAATATAAATAGTAACGGGGTTAGTTCATAACTGCACAGTGAAGCATTTTCATAGCTTACCCGACAAAATTAAATGTGTTATCCAATGTTAAACCCAATTTCTGTCGTCTCCTTCCACTTAATTCCAGGCTTTATCCTCAGACCAATCACAGCACATGTATTTGTACTATATAGCTATAATAGGTTGTACCGCTATTTTTCCTGTTGCTCGGCTCCTTATGGTCGTAGCGTGATGCTTCATACACTATATCCTGCCTCGATAAATAACCTATCCAATAAAAAATAAATTATTCAATTAGAACGAGTAATTCCGGAGATCAGCGCGTTCAAACAAACAAATTCTTCATATTTATAGCATTAGTATACATTATAGGAATATTGCTTGCGTTATGTTACCGACGTTTCCAAAATCTCTCTGCCTTTTCCTAAATGGCGGGAATACACTAATGTAAAAGCCAATATGGACATACAGACTTCTTAAAAATCATAATTATTTCCACCTTATTTGAAATCAAGCTACGACCTGACTTTGTATCTTACACGCAAAGCTATAAGTGCTAGAATCGTCTATCAGCTAAAGAACCTTGTAGGTCTTTTAAATCCCTTTACACTTTCCACTTTCTTTTTGTAGATTGGTTGACTAAGCTTTAAATGTTATTACGTAGTTTATGGGGAGTTCGGTAAATGAGAACATTTATGTTGGTATGTCTGTTCCAGGCAGCCTAACTGCAAAACGGCCACTGCGCCTGCGCTTCTTTTGTAAGGCATTTTAGTCACTAACTGTATTAGTAATAAGTGTTAGTTTTCTTTGAAGTATTTAGTTTCTGTTAGTGCCTATGTTTAAAAGAACGTGTTTCCTTTTCGTTTTGTACTATTTGTTATATTTCCTCAGTATATAAGTGTTGTCGTACATGTATATTTCTCAATAAATATGACATCTAAATTAATATGTTATTTATTTATTGTGATTGTGATAGATAGTTTTCCATTTTTCCATTAGAGCTAGTAATGGGGTGCTTATAGTCAGAATTTTAATTCGATTCCTGATTTGACATGACCTACTGTCATTTTGTGAAATAATGATACCACATATAACAGTGTAGTGATGACCACAAAAATCGATAAGCAATCAGTGAATCAGTTTCAGGGAGGCATTCAAAAAATTACGACTACCGAATGGTCTAAACGCGTATCCCATGTTGTCAAAGAAGAGGAAAAAATGAGTACGCTAGATTGTTAATTGACAATAAAAATCACAGACACAATTAATAATAAATGTTACAGAAAGTAACAGCAATAGCGATAGCGATGACGGCGACCATTTATAAAATGTCTGTTTTATTTGTCATGTTCCTTCATGATCACATTTTTTATTAATTTCACACACAATTACAAAATAAAAGTCTCAGATCGTTAATTAATTGTCAAAACTAAGTTATCGGTTTACAAATATTTTATTTCCTGATAAACTTAGTTTACGAGAGTAAATTTATAAACGAGAGGAATCGATTCAGAAATATTCGATTTCCATGTCGAATAATTTCGCAACGTCACTATTTTGTACGTGTCATAACGTTGCAAAACTGAAATTGTCAAATCTGGAATGGAATTAAAATTCCGAGTATAGTATTAATTTGTTTCATATTTGAAAAATAGTTTTTCACGAATTAAACTGGTCGGTGACTTACCAAAGAGTCTTTAATTAAATTAACTTTTTGTCCTACACGCTATTTCTGTCAACATTGTAGCGACCAAGCCAAAATTACGAAATTACTTTTTGTTATCGACCTACGCTTTAGCAGTTTAATTCGCATCTTATAAATGGTGGAAGGAAACAAATAAACCATTTTGCTTCGCACAGCAAATCTGTGTTATGAACTGTCGGTGTTTACGAACCGATACGACAAACACTTCTAAATCTTCAGTGTAATAGCTGACTACTAAGATGGCAACATGCTTGTGTAACTGTTCTGGTGTCCAAGGACGCCGCTGATCTCTTACCATCAGGTGATCAATCCTCGTTTGTCCAAAATTTCATTACAAAAAGTACCTCATTGAAACTTAACATCACATCATGAGCCTTTAAATGCCCACTGCTGACCAAAGGCCTCTTTTCACAGGGAGTAGGATTAGGCATTAATCACCACGCTTCCCCTAGGTGGATTGGTGATATCAAACTTATAATTATAAATTATATGTCTCATTATATTTTCCTTCATCGCTTATATGTGGAATCTTAATACATACATACATATATATTATTAGGTAACTTAGATAAGAATAATTGTCCCATGGGCGGTGCTGATCGCTTACCATCAGGTGATCAGTCGGCTCGTTTGCCTCCTATTCCATAAAAAAATTCACATTGCCAGGTTTCGAAAACGACCCTTAATGTATGTGAAGCTCGACCTTAGGACCACTGCGACCTAAAACTTAGTGGCAATTTAAAATGATCGCGTACTCCAGCTTATACGAAAATCAGCCTATAGTGACTGAACTGAAAATTGGTCTCAGTAACGCGCTTCTGTAGATAGAGGCCTTTTTTGTCAAGGGAAAATCATGTAATGACTTTTCACGCCTAGGGTAAGGCGAGAAAAAGCATCAGACGCTTACTGACTAAAACACCCCGTCCCTGCCGTATAGATAGAGGCCTGTATCCCGTATCAACAGTGGATATAATGGGCCGATTACAATGACGATACTAAGTTTTCCAGCATCGAAATAAAAAAAATTGTTACCTCAAAAGTACAGTTAGTTTTAACAGGAAATCGTAGTAATAAAATTGCACGTGTTACAGCTACCGCTATAAATAAATGTAGCTTTGAGTATGGAATAGGAATAATAATGGCACCATTGTTTTGTCAGTTCTACAGTGTAATAATTGTTTTTATTTGTATCTATGCCTAGATAGGCTTGATGGCTCTGCAAAAAAGTCAAAAGTATTTTTTATACTAAAATATAACGCTGATTATCGAATTACGCTGTCGGTCGATTGTTATTTGATAATGCTGTTATTTTAATTCGTAGACCTAATAGGGAATTTTTTTATCAAATATGTATAAAAAAAATTGGATTTAAAAAGTGACAGTATTTGTGGATTGTCAATAAAAAATACTTCTTCTGTCTTGTACCTTCAAATAAAAAAATAAAAAACTATATCTAGATCATCGATTAAAAAAGATTTAAGCTGGTGACTCTGTCCAGCTATCTTGTACAGCTTGCTATTTTATTCGACGCTAATTTTTAATTGTGCTACACTGGGTATCAAATTACACAAAGTTGTGTAGTTCGAAATTAGTAAAAAATGTTAGGAAATTTCGGAAAAGAAAAAAATTAAAAGCTATATAATAGTAGTTAACAAATAACAACTCCGGTCGGCTCGACCGGAGTGATACCACGGCCTCACAGAAAACCGGCGTGAAACACAGCTGTGTTTCGCCGTGTAATTGAGGTTACCGGAGGCCCAATCCTTCCTCTCCCCAATCCTTAAATCTCCAAATCCCTTATCCCTAAAAGGTTTGCAACGCACTCGTAACTCCTCCGTTGCGGGTGTCCATGAGCGGCGCTGATTACTTACCAGCAGGTAATCCGTCTGCTCGTTTGCCGACCTATTACATAAATAAAAACAAATTAATTTCCAACACGGTGACACATGCTAAGTTAAAAAATTATACATACTACAATTATTTTGGGGAATTATTAAACATTCTAATCGCATGTTCCTGTCATGTCATGTGATGTCGTTTGAAAGTGTAACAAATTGCATAATGTTGCATACAGTTAATTGGACATACAATAATTAGGTCTCGTGTCTCCAATATCAGTATTAATTACCCATCAATTTATTAAGATAACGTGCTAATAACTATTTAATATGTTCTTGTTCATGTTAATTGCACGTTTATTACTACTTTAAAATCGATCAACTTGGTTTTTTTACTTATATGTTGTATATTATTTTTGTGGCTTTCTCGCGTCACTGATAATTCTGCTGATATTTATCAAGCCACGCTAGGGTCTTATAATCTCGAGCATCGAGTGTGTGACACACGATGCGCCGAACATACCATAGGTAACTCACAATGAACTCAGCTTTAAAATAAACTAGTCGAGTTATCTTACCGAATAGTAAACCGTTAAAAGTAATTAATTTTATTATGACTTACAAAAGCATTTGATATTATGATCAACACACAATAAGTCATGTTGAATAAAAAGTGGGATATAATTCCGTAACTTTTTACCTATAGTTAAGTAATTGATTTTTGGGGTAGAGATGGGTATTATACAAATAAAATTATCCTATTGAATAATTAAGAAAAAAAAAAGATATACTGAGGCCCCGTTCAGAGTAGAATATGGAACAGCGTGGTTTTAGCCAGTAAGAGTGTAATACACTCACTCACCCCCTTCCAAAATGCAAGAGAAGTAATGGAATGCTTTCCTCCTTCTTAATAAGGATGGATGGATAAATTAATTTAGTTTATTTGTTGACTTATAGCTTTAACGTATTGACAACTAATATCCATTAACTACCTACTCATTGACATCAATTTATTATGACTTATGTAGTCTTCCTCATCTGACTTTTTGACGAACAATATTGACATGTAATTCAATAAGCCTATTTTATGTGCCTTTATTATAGCCTTTTGTATGCCTAAAATAGGCTGATCATAGCGCTCTTTAATTTAAAAATAATAAACCAAATGTACTTATGTATTACAAATAAAG